AAAATTATTAGAATTCAACAGCTATACATTTATTAATATTTTCACTGCATGCTCTTCTGAAAGCTGCTAGTGGCATCCAAGACGCTTGTAAGATCTGGTTTTCCATCTATTAAGCATTGCTTTTCAGAAGACTTGTGAAGCAGGGACCCACACACAACAAACAATGCTATTAAAATGCTGCTTTGTCTGGTAGCAGCAGACAAGCTGTGTTCAAGGACCCATCCCTCTATCCTTTTCCCTTTCCTTTCCTTTCCTTTCCTTTCCTTTCCTTTCCTTTCCTTTCCTTTCCCTTTCCTTCCTTCCTTCCTTCCTTCCTTCCTTCCTTCCTTCCTTCCTTCCTTCCTTCCTTCCTTCCAGGGTGGAAAAGAGAAAGATACTGCTTATTTTCAGAAGTGGAAACTGGATTTTCTAAGGAATGTCCTCTTGCCTGAAGTATTTTGTATAACAGGGGTTACCAACAGATTGGACAAAGAAAAGATCCTCATATTTTGGCATTATTATCATTGATAATATTAATGGCAATAATTTTGGCATTAATATCATTGATTACTGTTAGCATTATTATCATTGATGTTGCTGGGAGAAAAGCAGAGTGTTAGGTAAATCACATGCCATCTTAAGGAGGGCATGGAGGTTATCTGCCTTCTCTCCACTATGCAAGCGATAACCCTTTTTCTTAATTGCATTTCTACAACTGAAGAACAAGGGACAAGGAATTAAAAAGGAGGATATCTCAAACTAAGCTTAAACTGGACAGTACTGCGATTTCATCTTCAGTACTGTCACTCCCTTGCATCTGAAGTTAAGGTTTTGAGTATTGCGGCCACCTGAAATTATTCCTCTGCCAAGTCTCAGCAGCCCCCAGGTCTGCAGGGTGCAAAGAGGCTCTGTGCTCAAGACACAGGCAAGACTGATCAGATTCTAGAAATTTACTTTTCTGGTTTAGATTTTGCAGTTATTCTCCCAGAATGTCCTAGAACCTACAGGATGAAGCTCTTCAAAGAAATTATTCAAACAGGGGTAGTTTTTCCTTTCTTTTTCTGTAGGAAGAGCTAATTAGCTGGGAAGTGGGGGACAAGTTTACATCCTCTGCCTGTGGGAGTTTAAATCTTCATATTCAATTTCCTGCCAATAAGCCTAAAAGCCAAGGCTACTAGATTAATATTTTCCATGTTATCTTCTGCCTAATTTGACCAAGCTCCTCCACTGGAAAAGCGCTTCAGGCTTTGTCTCTGCTGGGCCAGCCAGGTGACACCCACTGCCTTTATGGTAAGGGACTGTGAAGGCTCTTTGAGGTCAGTCCTCGGGAGTTCAGTGGGAAACCCTGGATATCCCTGGACTATGGGAAGCATCATGTATCTGGGGCTGTAATGAACAGCAGTCACTGAGGTCAGGTCAGGTCTGGGTCCAGACCACCAGTAGCTGTTCATGCAGCTCTGCTGAAGACTGTTCTGTGATGTTAATGTGCTCATCACTCCTCGCTGAAAGCCTCCACAAGTAATGCAAAGAATTCAAGATTCAGTGGGTCAGATGGAGGAGGAAGAATAGGGGAAACTAGTAACCCACTAGTTTGGGTAGACAATGCAAAGCATCAGGTCTGGCATGCCAGTAGCTTCTCTAGGAACAGCTGATGCTTTTGTTTAATGAGTTTTTCATATAAAATGCATGAACAATAGAGACTGGAATCCACATTTCAATTAATATTTTAAGTGTTTTATATCAAGTATTCATAGCAGAAAGAACTAAACTCGTGTGTTCCTGCCCCTGGTGAATGCCCTAACCACTCAGCAAGTGAGTTTTGCTCGTACTCATCTTCCTTCTGACACAGTGAGTACTTAATTAGTCCACACAGAGAAAAACATCTTCAACAGAGATTGAAAGAAGAGATCTAAGAACACCCTGGAGAAGAATAACAAGGATTCAGATCTCTCTAGGCAGTGGAGGTATTTGAACCTAACTCCCCTGTTTAAAAGGAACCATATTAAAGTCTCTGAGATACAGATTAAAAGGAGCTGAAAGAATGATGAGGGTCAAGATGCAATGAGGGGCACCACCACCTCTACATAGGAGAAAAGGTTCTACTTCTCTATGTTCAAGCAGAAAATTTTGGCAATTCTCTGCCTAAGTCTCTGTATGTATGGCAAAGGAGGAATGGAGGCCAAAGGACAGGATTTGTATTACACCCCTGCGCTACAGCACTGGTCTGAGCACTGTGAAATGACACCTAAATCTCAACCTTTTAGAGCGTGAAAAACAAAACATAGAACCTCTTAATGAGCAGTCATTTATGCATCATTTAATGTACACTAATGACCACACTCTAAAAGGAATTTTTTGCTCAGGTCTCACTGAAGACAGTGGGACTGAGGACCAGTGACTACGACTACTCCCAGTTTACTCAATGGTTAAACTAGAGCAGGCTTTCCTTATCTGTACTGGGATACTGGATCTGATGGTCACCAGCTCAATGAACTGACAGGTGATGCCACGAGTGGCAGCAGCCTGGGATGCAGTGATCATGCCCTGGTGGAGTTCACAGTCCTCAGGCATATGGATTGGCAAAGAGTAAAGCCAGGAGCCAGCATTTTAGAAGATAAAACTTTCAGCTCTTTAAGAAGGTCAGTAAGACCCCCTGGGAAACTGCCCTCAAGGACAAGGGAGCAGAACAGAGCTGATAGATCTTTAAGGATACCTCCCAAGAGGGAAGATCTAGTGAAACCCAGGTGAAACAAATTGGATGAGAAAGACAAGAGACTTAATTGCTGTATTGGGACCTGCTAGCTGAACTAAAGGGCAGAAGTGAAATGCAGAGGTGGTGGAAGAAGGGACAGGTATCATGGAAAGAGCATAGGAACACAGTCTGGTTGTGTATGAATGGGGTCAGGAAGGTCAAGGTGTAGATGGAGCTGAAGTAGGCAAGGGATGCCATGAATAGCAAGAAGAGCTTCTACAGGTATGTCAGCTAGAAAAGGAAGGTTGAAGAAGATGTACTCCACCTGGCAAGCAAGGTCGCCATGAGGAGAAGGCTGAGGCACTCAACAACAATTTTTCCTCAGTCTTTTGCCACCTCCTTTCCCACACCTTTTGAGTGTTCGGTCCACAAGACAGGGCCTGGGGGAGCAAAGTCCCTCCCACTGTAAGAGAAAATCGGGCTTGGGACCACTTGAAGAACCTACCTAAGTCTTGAACATACCTAAGTCTATGGAACATTGTGAGATGTATCCCAGAGTCCCAGGAACTGGCTGATTTAATTACCTAGCCACTGTCTATGATATTTGAAAAGTGTGGCAGTCAGGTGACTGGAAAAAGGGAAATATTGTACCCATCTTAAAAAAGGGTAGAAAGAAGGGCCCTGGGAAGTATCAACTTGTCAGTGCCATTATCTCTGTGCCCGGGAAGATCACGGAACCTATCTTCCTAGAAACTCTGCTAGGACACATGGAGGACAGGGAAGTGTTCAAGACAGCCAGCACAGATTCACCAAGGGCAAGTATTGCCTGACCAACATGGTGAAGAGAGTCCATCAATGGACAAGGAAAGAGCTACATATGTCATTTATCTGGACTTTTGTAAGGCTTTTGACATGGTCCCCCACAACATCCTTCCCTCTAAATTGGAGAGAGATGGACTTGATGGGTGGACAATTTAATGGATAAGGAATTTGCTGTACAGCATTATTCAGAGAATAGTGGTCAATGGCTTGAGGTCTGAATGGAGATCAGGGACAAGTGGTGTCATTCAGGGGTCAATTTTGGGACCAATGTCTTCATCAATGACATAGTGAGTGACATCAATGACAGAGTGAGCCTGCAGTAAGTTTGCAGATGACATCAAGCTGTGTGGTGTGACTGATGCACCTGAAGGACAGGATGCCATCCAGAGGGACTTGGACAAGATTGAGAAGTAGGCCCATGGGAACCTTGAGGTTCAACAAGGCCATGTGCAAAGCACCTGAGGCAGAGCAACTCACAGCCCAGAAAGCCAAATGTATACTGGGCTGCATCCACAGCAGCGTGGCCAGCAGGATGAGGAAGAGGATTTTGCACCTCTGCTCTGCTCATGTGAGACCCCACCTGGAGTGCTGTGTCCAGCTCTGGGGTCCCCAGCACAGGAAAGACACAGGCCACAAAGACGATCAGAGGGCTGGAGAACCACTCGTATGAAGACAGGCTGAGAGAGCTGGGGTTGCTCAGGGTGAGGAAGAGAAGGTTCTGGGAAGATGTTATAGCAGCCTTCCAGTACCTAGAGGGGGATATATAAAAGCTGAAGAGGGACTTTCTACAAGGGCATGTAGTGATAGGACAAGGCAAATGGCTTCAAACTGAAAGGGGGGCGGTTTAAATCAGATATTAGGAAGAAATTCTTTACTCTGAGGGTGGGTGGTGAAGCATTGCAAGGCTGCCCAGAGAAGTTGTCGATGGCCCACTCCTGAAACTGTTCAAGGCCAGGTTGAATGGGGTTTAGAACAACCTGGTCAAGTGGAAAGTCCTTCTGGTCACGGCAGGAGGAGTTAGAATAAGATGGTCATTATGGTCCCTTCCAAATCAAAGCATTTCATGATTCTATGATTCTGTAGTTGTTGAGATATGGAAATAATGTGAAATTAGCTGAGAACTGTCATGCTGCCTTGGGAATTCAGAGAAAGGCAATATAAAAATGCATCCTTAAGAACAATAGGAAGCCATGGATCCTGCTTTGTCAGAGAACAGGGCAGATTAAATTTAAAGAGAGCTAAATCCCCTGCTTCCCTCCTTCCCATACACATGCACAAAACTCTCTATAAAGGCATACACTTCTGTTTGTTTTGTGTGGTTTCCTCAGGCAGTGAATTATCTAGGACTGACTCTAAGATTGGCTGTTTAGTTTCAGACTTTACGATAAGCTTTTAATTATAGCACGGGAGTTTCATTACATGTTACTCTGAGCCAGCTGGAAGCAGTTACACTTTAGTCCTCCTCCCCCTCCCTCCTCACCACAGGATGTCATTTCCAAGGCCTTACCCTTCTTGTCTTGATGATTATGGGATGAAACTGCCACATATGGATCTGTATTTTCAGATGAACCAAGCGGATCCTTCCAATCCAGCATGCGTCCCCTAGCATCATAACCCTGTCGAGCGCGAGAGTCAGAAGTGGTGGTGCTTGGGACTAGGGAACTGGAGTGTCCTGTTCACATTATAAATACAGGTAGGGAAGACAAGTCTCATTAGTCACTTACCATGCTACCTCCCCATACTCAGGGGTACAGACTGCTTTGCTTCTGTGACAGGTGAACATCTTGTCTTAGGCAGAGTAATGTTTCAAAAGTCCTTGAAAATGTGACTCTAAAGGAAGAGGGGATTTGAACCTTCCAGATCAGGGTGCTAAAAGGTGCTGCCACTGAGCTGGCAGTTCTGTGCAGTTCTCTGCTTCTTGACAGAGTTACATGCATATGAAAGAGGGTAAGCACACTTTGTCTGAGTCAAACATCCTTTGGCTGGATTCAGCACACATGCCTGACTGACACTGAAGGGTCAGCCCATGCTGTCTGATACTGGCTCAGTCAAAAAGCAAATAAGAAATCAATCTAGAACAGAACAATGTCCAAAATGGCTGGAACTGAATGGGAATGCCAGAAGAACTACAAAATGGTGACATCATGAGGCACTCTACCGCATGTCCCCAGGGGAATGAAGGACTGCCTAACACCAGTGTGCTCACGCTGCGGCACTCCTCTCCAGACGGGAAATGTCCCGGGCCAGCTGCTTGCACCTGCTTGCACCATCACTGTTGGTTCTGTCTGAGCTGATGGCCCAAAATGGCTCTGAAATAAGCACAAGACTGAGCACCACTTCTGCTCAGGGGCACAGTGCAGATAGTGCCTCACCACGTGGATCTGCCGAAGAACCCGTGACTCCAGCAGCAGCTGAGACTGTTTCACATGCCTTTTTTCCATTACAAATGCTCTAGATATTGTTACTGTTGCCCTGAACAAGACTGATCTGCTTCTTGCGTATCACATACACCCCAACAAACAGCACACTCGCTGAACTTGCCCCACTGGAAACACAGCACAATTTGAAATGTGGTTTGGATGGGACAACATCATGTTTGCAGACTCATACACTCTTTGAAGCTGGACCTGAAAAGCACATCAGCGCCTAAAATTATTGAGATGCTTGGAGTCTACTGTCTCTGGAAGACAGCTCCCACATGGACTTTCCAGTGGCTCAGCTGCTTTGGTGAGAGGGCTCCAAAAGCCATCCACACCACCACATTTTGACCTCAAAACCATTCTGAAATTTTCCTTTTGGCACATGTGAAAAAGTGATTTATTTTCATCAGGATTCAAGGAGTTCTGGGCCTCCTCAATTTGTTGTGGGTAACTATATCCCCTTACCTACTTTTCTTAAGGAGCCCATTAAAACAAGGATTTTTGACACATGCTCAAACTAACAGAACTGGATTATTCACAGACAGAATGGCATATAACATTTTTCATCAGATAACACTAGACAGACTGACAGCAGCCCTCCTTTCTCCTGTCTCCTTTTGAACAGCCCAGCAAATTAATTTTCCTTCCTTAGATGAATCTCACTTGGAGAGGAATCCAATCACCAAGCTACAGGCTGCCCTAGCAGGGACCCTCTCCCTGCTCCTTTCCTTGATCTTGCTTCACTGCTCAGAAAAATAATTTGAGACTTACTGGGGCAGAGAGAGATCAACACAAGGAGCTGAAATTTAAGCCTCACACAGAAGGCACAGAGCTGGGCAGATAGAGCCTGTGCTTCTGTAATTTATTTTAAACAGCTCCTGGATAACCACAAAGCTTTTGAAAGAACCATCTCAAACGTGCTCTTTTACATGGCTTCTAAAGCCATACAGTCCCACCTCTCAAAAGTCTAGAGAGAGATGGTGAACCTAGACCTTCAATTCTACTCCAACAATCAAAAATCTAAATGTTGGCCACCAATGTCCCCAAGCTCTTAGATGCACCCACATGATTCTTTTCATCCAGCCCTTTCACCAGCTTCATAGTGTTGAACTACTGATGAAGTCAGCATGCTGCAACTTCTATTAAGATGATATGATTTAAAGAAATCCTGTTGAATATTAATGACTTTAGAGTAAAAAAATATCTGTGCTCCTCTCTAAGTTTTTGAGGAGCTCTTTTGATTTACTGAATCAGATTATATATGGGAGCACTTTGGACTACGTTTTGTATAGGACATGGTCACAATGAACTCCTTTAACTTGTATGCTTAGAAAGGAAAATTGGTTCAATTTGGATTCACCATGTGAATTTGGATTTAAATTTGGATTCATCAGTGTTCTCACCATGAAGCCACCCTTCAACTACAATTAATTGTTAACACAATTTTGGTCTGGATGTCAGTCTGAAGGTTTTATACTGACAAGTGCAGTGGATTATTTTTTACCCTCTCATGGTAGAAAGTGTGTTTTCTCCCAGCCATCTTTCTTTAAAGCAGCAAATTAAGTGCTGTGTTTTGTTAAGATAGAGTTTTGAATGTCACCCAAATAGAAAAGAGAAGCCAAATATTATCCTCTTTTAAAAGGCTTCCATATGCCCCATCATGGCTGGGGACATGGGTAGCACACAGATAGAGGACTCCATTTGAACTGCAATCCAAATGTGTTGCCTGCTCCACAGCAGTCCTGCAGCAGGACTGTTTGTGTCCAAAGGGACAGGTAGAGGTCCACAATAGAAAGCACACCCCCTCTTGAAGCAAGAGCATGCTGGATCCTGAAATCATTCACTCCAACACTATTACGCTCGTCAACTCCCGTGCTCATCCTTAAGGAACAAGACAAATAACAGGGCAGACAACAGGCTAGAAAATAGAAATTATGGAATTTTCATGTTTTCCTTTCCCTAAGGATTAAACCACAGTGCAAACATTCATGGGGTTCCAGTCTTCAAGATCATACCTCATTCAGCAACAACAATAATGTGTACAGTATTTGGTCAGCTTACACATAGTGCTGCACTCAACATAAGAAAGCAATTAGTCATTGCTTGATAAGGAGGTAAAAGAGAAGAAAATCTTGCCAAGTAGCAATCGTATTTTATGCCTGTGTTTGATATGCATTTATATACCTATATTTCTTTCCAGACACTTGCAAATTTATATGTGCTTAAAGGAAGAGTTCTAGGGAAAAGCTGTAAGTATAGTTAAAGAAAAACATTTCATAATACAGAAATATAGAGGAAGTATATGCTTAAGGGACACATTTTTCAGGGGAAAAAAAATTCTTGAACCATATGTTGCCAATACACAGAGAACTTCCTGGTAATGGAAAGCTAAGGCTTTGTGAAGCTATTAATGTGTACCAGATGGTCACTAGGTAGAGAGGGGTTCCACACAAATACAAGGAATCAGCATATTTATTCTCTCTGTTACTAATGTATTAGTCTAGTACACACTGAGAAGCAAGCTTACACAGCTAATTGAGGCAAACTTTCTTCCACTGGATTTTGAGGAAGCAGGACAGGAGCAGATTAAACCTTAATAGCCCATCCCAGTTGTGGTAGGGCTGTATTTGCAAACACTACTAGGCAGTGATACTGCTCCTGTAAGCAGTATCACAGTGTTCTGCAAGTGCCTGAATAGCCTGTCCCACTGGGTGAATTTCACCTCTGAGCAGAGTAGCACCACAAATGTATGACCTATTTAAGTTTCTTTCATAAACAGAGAAAAGACTGAAGTGGCAGGCAACCCAGTCCCCAGTCCTGGCCCTCTTGCACACAGCCATTATCAAGCCTTTACAATGCACTATATAGTTCTCAACACATAGTGGGCCTTTTTTTCCCATTACACCATTTTTTACCATTCTAACTTGCAAATGAAATTTGTTTAAATTTAACGAGGCTTTAGCACATCTGAGATGTGGCCAGCTTCTCTGTGTTAATAACAGTTAATACAAAAACATCTGAAAAACCAATTCTGCCTTTGTTTTAAAACAAAGCATCCAAATAACGGTACACATAGTGCTTTTCAAATGTCTTTGTTTAAAGAAAACATGTAAAAACCAAATAGACACACTTTTAAAAAATCTGGTTTAGGTGCTTCCATTATTCGGAAAAACTTTTCAGTTGGAGTGCTGTAATCAAGTAACAGAGGCAGAGTAAAAGCACTTAGTGCCTACAAGAACAGATAATGATTCAGAAAGGCTGCACTTCTGAAACTATAGCTTGTTCTGAAGTGCACTTGTAAAATGCAAAGAGGTTTTTTTTTTCAGGTTTAAAACAAAGACAGATTCAATACTATCAGTATTTGATAGTTGGTTTAATATGCACAAGTCATTAGAATCTCAGAGGTTAAGATATCTGCACGCTATCCTATTAACAGCTATAGCAATCTAATTAGACAATTAGAGGGAAAGTTAAATCAATACTATAGAGGGAGAAAGGACTATGGCTAGGGGGTAATATAAGGGCCCAATTCACTAAGAATTGATGTTTCCAAAGGTAATTGAAGCTGCTTAGACTTTTGCAGAGTGATCTAGCTTAATCTCCTTGTTTAAATATGTGGCTCCTGCATAATTCCTGTCTGACTTTCTGCATCCAGACCTTCAGTCCACTATCCTCTCCTTGGGTATCAATTTGAGTCACCTGCGTGGACTTTGCACTTTACTTGTTTGCAACTGATCATGTGAGATTGCCTTAGAAAGAGAGCCCATGTGCCGAAATCAGGAGGAGGCTGGTGCCAAGAATACAAAGATTAAGGGCTTGGTTCTTCTTTCATTCACACTGTTACAGATTGGCAGTAAGTCTGTTGAAGGAGGATGATTTATAGTGGCATAAGTGAAGAGAATCAGGCCTTATGACTTCTTTTTGAGCTTCAGATGACTTTGGGTATATTTAGCCCACTGAGCATTCACTCAGTTGGCGTTCTGGTACCGGTGTTCTGAGGCTTAGTCTATTGTGATATACCATTACCTTTGCATTAAACTGTACTCACTAACATCAAAATAGATAATTCATAAATTTTTCGGTTTTTTCAAGATGCAAAATTACTCAGACCAGTCTCTACAGTTGGCAAACATGAACATGTTTACTGAGACTGGTTTACTACCTCGTCCTAGAATTTTTGCACCCTGAAGTGGAAGATCAATAAAGGGTCACTAGTGGTAGGTGAAAAGAAAGCCCAACTGTAAAACCATCAGAATAGGTATTTTAACTAAACCAATAAAAGGGGGAGCTGACTTGCCTGGAGACAAAGTTATCAGGATGTACCTGAGAGAGGTCAATGAAATAAACCATAAAAGACAGGACATGAACGGGAACCCATGTTAATGCTGGGTCAGCATTTCTCCATTGTACCTGTCTGTAAAGTCCTACTTTAAAAGCTGGGTTCATTTATGGAGTCTCTTTTTGAGCTTGACATGTCTGGACAGTAAAATGTACTCTCTTTTGTTAACTGTTCTCTCTTGGACTACAGCTTTTTTTCATTCTGCTGCTCACTTGAAACACTTTTCTGCTTTCTTGGTCAGATTAAAATATCAGTTTTTACTGAAGTGCCTACTAATACTCTAGCTGGCAGGATCCAGAACCACAGTTCCACAGCTATAACTCTGCAGACAAGGGAATTCACTTACAAGTAGGAAATCTGGAACATTTCTGGCACATCAGCACTATACCCAAAGACACTCTCTTTATCTTCACATTCAGCAGAATGGATTTTATTACTACTTTTCTTTAATTACTGTGCATTAAAAATACATCAATTTCACAATGAAAGAAAGTATAAACCCTCTATGCAGATGAAACTGTGAGTCTTCCATATATCAGAAAGTCTCAGCTTGCCTTTGATTTTGCACATTCCCTTCACTGGTTTTCATTACCATACTTTCAAATAAGTTTCACCTGCACATTTTTCATTTCCTGGTAATAAACAGTAGGGGGAATTTGATTTTATTTTTACAAATGTTGAACAGTATTACTGTGCCTCCAGTTATGTAAATTCTGCTGTACTGAACTGTCATTGGTTCAGTTTCATACCTACTTACTCTGCAGGCATGGGATGAAAGGATGAATTAAAAGTTCATCACAACTTCACATTAACCTACCTCTTGCTGTGTTCAGCCAAATGTATGGTGAATTTGATCTAGCCCTAATGAACTGCTACTCTTGTACAGCCTGAAAGCAACTTCACAAGGAAGCTCCCACCGCTCATGGAATTCTGCCATTGACTTCACTGGCAGGTCTTAGCTTGTGAGTACTTGTCTTTGTTCAGGATGTCTGTAAGAAAAGCTATTAAAATATATGTCTAGGTTTGAATTTAAAGTGATTATTTATTCTGCAGTGATTCCTCATGAAGGCATTTATTCTTCACTCCAAGAAACAGCATAATCTACCTCCAAATATGCAAAACAGAGTCGTAGAAAGCACTATGAGCACAGATTAACAGCTGCCTCATGGGAACCTGCTACTCTAGGCTTGCAGAAATGATCCTCTTCAGTTCTGGTAATTTAATTTGCTATGTAAATTTGAATGGACAACATAAATGACTCACCCTAGAAGTGACAAGAACCTTCAGGAACTGAGGCATAATCCAGTCTCAAACCACATGGGTAAAAGGCTAATTTTCCTTATGAGAGATCTTTCTGTAACCCAGGGATAGTTCTGCTTTCCCTAAGGTATCTCTGAGTGGCTGCTGTAGCAGTAATGACACCACCCTGGGCAGCTCATAAGTGGGATGTGAGCTACTACCTTGTTTGTCCTGGTGAACAGATAAGGTGCATCACTGTACCCGAGTGTTTCTTTCAGTGTTCAGATGAAGCATGCTCTTAATCATGTCTGCTGACATGACATTAAAATAGGCCTTATCTGACTTTAATTCACTGGAGACAGTTTTGAGGAAAGACAAGAAAAGAGGGATTGAAAACCAAGAGGTATGGCTTAATCCTAGTTGTGATTAGTGAATCGGGCCCTCAAAACCAAGACAAAACAAGTAAAATAGGGTAACAACTATTTGAGTATAGATACTACTAGCTAACACAAGGATTTGGGGAGAATTTTTAAAAACACTCATAAACTGACCATACACTGTGTAGTAAGACATTTTTTGATCAGGTGGAGCAGTTGAAATGTCTATGAACAAAATAAATTGGGAAGAAACATTAAATATAACAAAAGTATGAAAATATTTTAAAGTTTAGTAAAAAGTGATTCCTCCAAAATGGATTTGCTGTCAATAAATATTGAAACCAAGAACTTCCTTACCATTCAGGGCTACGAAGGAATCTGAAAGACAAATAACAGGGGAAATATCATTATTTGTATCTTGTTTTTTCTTGTAAGTAGTTTGCTGCTAATAAGTGTTAATGTTTCAGCTGATATTTATAAGCCTGAGATTTATACTAAGGACCCAGGCAAAACTAATATTCAGACATACCCAAAAACAATGTCTGGCTTTGAAAGTGCTCACGACCAGCTCTGTACAGGAGGTACTGAAGGAGGGAGGGCCAGTGTCCCCCCTGCTTTCCTTGTAAATCTTAGTCTAAGGCAAGGCATTCCAGGGATGCAGCCAGCAATGTGAATAAATGAGGACAAAACTCAGGTGACCCAAGATCACATGAAGTAATAAAATCAGCTGCGTTAGCAGGGAATGAAATCTACCCCTGTGCAGTGTCAAGGTTCAATGCACTATTCAGGGCTAAAGAGGGATTTAAGCAGGGTATAGGCTTTGTTGCTCTCTGCACAGAAGCAGATCTCTCTCCATGAGCACAATGTGCTGTTCCTGAATAATTCCTACCCTACTTTTATATGTAACTGATATCAGGTACACTGCACTCCTGCCTAACCTATTTGCCCAAGGAGAGCAGGACTGGCTGAAAGGGCAAAGATGTACCAGCTGGGAACTGGCCTGATTTTGGTGCTAACCCATTTTACAGGGGAACAGAGGGGAGGCCTATCTGGACATCTCCATCAAAAACCTTTGCAACGGTCTATATCCACCTATCTTAGGACAGGTTGAAATCTTTGCACTCCTCCAAGCAAAGTGATGAGAGTAATTAATGCCTCTTGAATAAAGAAGCACAAGGCGTGAGAAGGCTCTGGCTTTCTCCAGAGTGTCTGGCCCACACCATGTCCCATGGCACAGCCTAGCTCTCTGTTATTTTTCTCTGTATTGCAGAAGTAATGACTCTCTCACTGTACATTGATTCCTCAGCTTCATCAGTGCAAATTACACTGAAAAGAATGAGAGCCTTGATTTCATGAGGTTTATAATTAGTATTTGGAGCTCAGAATCAAACCAACCTTACTGAGAACATTTGGAACAAGAGCTGTCCTGAACACAGATTGGTATTCCTGAAGGCTCAGAAATCAGCAAGGTTTCTTTGCATACAGTGCAAGCTATGCACTTTTAAGCATTTCAGTACCAACCAGTAAATGTTTAAAGACTGTGTTTAAGCTTCCAGCTCACGCTGTCAGTACTTAAGGTTTACTATTAAAATTTCTTAGGCAGTGCCAATAGTACCTGACCCTTAATACCATGAGGTTGTCCAGACTGTATGTAAAATTCCCTAAGATTCACAAACTAAGCAGTTGTCATTTCTTGATCCGGATCCAAAGCTGAAGATACATTTCTCTGTCTCACTGTGCTGCATGCAAATGTAGTCCAAGTCACAGACCACACCAAGAAACCAAGCCACTTCTGTACATTTACATAAACAACCCAACCACCAGGGCTAATAAAGACAATGGGCCCAATTCATTATGTCATTGCTGTAATCAATATCCTCTAGAGCTAAGCTTTTCTCATTACGCAACCACTCTGAAGTCCAGTGTTTGTACAAATCGCATGAACTGGGCTATTTTCCTCAAACACATTTAAAAACAGTTCTTCTGAACCTGCACCATTAGCTACATTGCTGTCCCTATCATGGCTTATGTTGCTGCAAAAGAATGCCTGACAGGTAATGGTGATTTGAGGCATTCAGAAGGATACTGTGACACATGGTAAATAGAGGTAAAAGCTTTGCTTACTTTGGCAGTCACCCAGGCCATCTGTATTGCCACGTTCTATGTCCTGTTCAAACGCCAGTCTAAATAATAGAAGGAAACAAAACAGTATGAATAACAACAGTCATAGGCACAACCAGAAAGAAATTATCACATGTTCAATTGAAATAAATCCCTGCTGTGAAACTGGCTATTTCTTTGGAAATTCCACACAAAGGCTGAAAAACCGCAACACACACATTTGAGCTATTCATCATTGCTTAATGATTTCTTGGCTTCTGATGATACTTTTTCTTTATATTACTACTTTTTAAAAATCCACAGCATGCCTTGTTACCAAGGGAAGAAAAGACTAGCATTTTTTAAGCTGTTAAATATAGGATTTTATCAGAAGCAACTGTAACCCTACCTTAACCTGTGCACAGAGTAGATCAGGTGCACTGGCACTTTGGTGTGAGAAGGAAGCCAACCCATTGGGCAGGTAATGTGCTTGAGGAAGAAACCTGCATTTCAGCAATCACTTAGGTACAGCACCAGATGAGGCTGCAAGGCATAAGGTCCGTCCCACAAAAGGTATTCCTTTTAAGTCAGGGGCTCTACTGACAAACACTCACATGCTTTTCTAGCTGACATGCTCAGCTTATGCTCCCATGCTCTCTCTGTGATTTTGGATAACTGTTGAAGTTGTTCTTCCAACTTCCTGTGTGGTCAAAGGTGAATGACAAGAACCTTGGAAAATTTCCAAACACAAGCCCTTGCCTATGTTAGGATCCTGCCCTTGAGGCATAATTACCCTTGCAGACAACTCATTCTAACTCTGTGTTCTGAAAACACCTGCTCTACTGCCATCTACTCCAGGAGGATGACTAACATCTCTGCCTCGTGTTGGTTAGCTTAGAACCAGATACCTTCACAGCTGATCTGTACCCCCTTCCTAAGCACTGGACAGAGCATGGGCTGCCTTGATCACTTTTGGACTTCATCACTGCAAGCTGCACAGCCTCTGTCTCGATGGATCTATTGATGAACGTGGGAGCTGCTTTTAAAAGTGAGGTATGGAAGTCCCCTACAAGTTGCCATGGAAGTTGAAAAAGTCTCAAGCACTTTTTGGAGTGATGAAAAACCTGATATGGACACAGGTATATTTTAACATTATCCTACCAAATGTCAAATCAGAAACAGCCCACACTTTTGTAGTCAAGCATATACAGACACATACAGCTACAGCATCCTCAGCAGATGGTGGAAATCACCAAATTAAGAACAAGACAGAAGCACAGGGATAGTAATTTGTCCATTATATAGTGAGGACCTTTAGAGAAGCAGGGTTAAGTGGCATCAGATGCAGGGCTGTCAAGGCTCTGTGATGTCTGCGCTACACTTCCACTACTACCACGAGGGAATGTTGCTGGTAGCTCAGAGTGGGCAGTCATGTGGTGTGTCAGAAGTGGCCATGAAATGTGAGCTCTGAAGTGGGTTTGCTCCCTGTAACCTTCACAGACTTTCATTATCATAAAATAATTAAATTCTACTGTTAAGCAAGGGGAGATCCAGCACTTCTCTAAATCTGTTTTAAGCCCTTACTGTGCTCTGTTATTCCTCTTAGCAATGCACAGTAAATTAGAAGGCCTGGTTTTGTTTTCAGTGGACAAATTACTTCAGTAATTTAATTTGGATTCTATTGCCTCTTTAATCAGCTGTGATGGCTCCAGTGTAGGCTGGTCCAGACATATCCATCCAATTCACTCCTTTCAATAATACACGGACCTTAATACAGCTCTTTCATTTTCTTCTTCCTCCTCTTTCAGCAGTTACCACTCAGCTAACTGTTCACATCAAAAAAATTTGTGAGACATTTCGGAGGTGAATGCAAATAAGACAGAAACAAACACTTCCCACATTTTTCCTTCTCTAAAAGCCTTATGTTCCAAATAGCTTTGCCCAAGACTGCCTGGCACCACCACCAGAGCTCCATGGCCCATCCAGCCAGAGCCCTTACTCACTTGGAGCCAAGGACCAGCTGCGTGCACACCCCGCTCTCCTTCACCCATCCACAGTACGGGTCCCTGGATGCTATGCAGGCCCTTGGGAGAGAAGAGCACAAGGCGGCATTTAGGAGTGCTCCAGCTTGCCCACTGCCCAGGCCCCTGACAGCCGCCACAAAACACGTACTTTTTGCACTTGCCATGACGCTCGCAGCGTCCCAGGGGAACCTTGATGACACAGGTGGAGAAGGCGACATACAGGGCGCTGCTGGGCTTGTCAAGCTGCATGCCCATGATCCGCTTGTCTTCCATGCCGTCATAGCTGCACCTGATTTGGATAAAAGTGGGATGTGGTTACAAGTGGGCTCTTCTGGGAAGCCAGGGGAAGCCTTAGTGGTCCCCCAGGCTGAAAAAATAAGATTGCAAAAAGCTTCCGCCAAAAAATCCATAAGAAAGGTAGACTTGAACAAGTCAAGGAAAAAGAACACACAATAGCCACTAAAAATACTGACAGACATATAAGTATTAAAAAATGCATGGGATAGTTAAGAATTTGGGAGCAACAGCACACCAGATAAGCTTCTGACGGCCCTTCATTTCTGTGTTTATTCTTCTCCAGCACTCAAAGTAGCTGAAATTTCTGCATGATTATGGCTCACTTCAAAGCCCCCTTAGGCATATTTAAGGAAGACTGAAATGTGGAAAATTTCCCTTGGAGAGTATCTTGCTGCTTGTTGAGTTATTTGGAGAGGAATCAGGGTTTTTTATAGGATTAGAAAATTAATCTTCCTTTCCAGAACTTCACTTTTAATTATCTATCAGCTGCTGCATAGGATGGGCTATTTTCTACACAGACTGACTAAAAAAAATCTTATTGCAATGTAGAGACTGATAAGCAGACATCCCCTCCCTAAACAATTTAAGATTACCAAAAAAACTTGGCTTCTCTAACCACTTCCGTTTCCACGGGATACATTATTCTCTGGGAAATCAGAAGTTCAAAGTCACCCATACATGAGTACAAAGAATCAGATACACACTTTTCAGGATTGTAAACATTGATCTCCTCCAGGAAAAGGCTGTCATTTAGGAAACCAGTGTTTCCTGTCCATGCCAAGAACTTCAGGATGATTCCCTTCTCTGACCCCAAGAAAACCACGGTATAGTTCTGATATGGCCCAGCAGCAGAGTCAACAGCAATTTTGGTCAGGCGATATCTAAAACAATAGAGCATTTTCACAGATAAATCACAGAGATAATCACAAAATTTTCATTTAATCACTTTCTTCACATCAGATAAGTGTATGGTAGCCTTCTAGCAACCATAAAACACATTTAAGTACTTCTCCTACCTGACTATAAATCAACACAGACTGTACCAATTTGGCTCCCCAGATGCTGGGGAATTTTCACGTGTTTGCATGCCCACATATCCAATAGCCAGCAGAAGTGTCCAGAAGTTCAGAAACCTGAAGGGGTGCTAGGAGCCTGAGGGCATTTAGGAATTATCCTTCCAAAAGCCTGGTGATTTCTTCAGACAGGGATAGAGAATCAGCACAGTGAACTGTTTTTAAAATTTCAAGCTCTGTCACATTAAAAGCAGCTGAATGAGGTTCAACTTGTTTTGTCAGGAAAAGCTGTGTCAGTGCAAGACTAAGACACTAAACACCATTTTAGCTCACTAAAAATAATCACACAACCGCCACCAAGCAAGTTCAGCACTGAGGTGAAATCAAATCTTGGGGTGACACAATTTATTGAAAACAATAAACTGGTGGTTTGGTACCAGTTGGATGGTACTGCCTATCAAAGGGAAGCACTCCATGAAGCTTGCTACTCTCATCTTTGGTTGGAGCTACAGAACCTGACAGAAAAACTTGTCATAAGATACACTACAGAACCAAAGTCAGATCCTTCCACAGATCTAAGTGCCCAACGCAATATTCTACCTTTGTTCAGAGGAAAATACGGCAAAAGTTAGTCACATTATTCTGTTCACTGCTGCAGGGTAGATAAGTAGTATAATGACCACAATGTACATTTCCCACAGAGAGTGGGAATGTATTTTGATACATTCAAAGGAAGGGGATGGTGCATTTAACACTTGCTGATTTATGAGTCTTTGTTCAATCTGTTATTATTTTTTTCTTGTTGCCATAGAAAGGATGCAGATTATGCGATTACTTCTGCCCTATACACTTCTGCAAACATTAAAGCTTTCCAGTACATAACCTGACAGACATCTACATATCCTGTGAACGTATCCTGGCAGACATGTTTGTATCCTGTGTACATATTCCTGAGTTGTCTGCTGACCCTTGCCTGAAGTTTTTACCGAGTCGTCTCAAATGTTGACCTGTAAGCCAAAAGGTGATTAAACTTCCCCGCACAGCATTTCCTACAACATCCAGTTTCAGCACAGCACGGTTGGAAAAGACTGAGGTCTTTCCTATCTTGAAAGCTCCTCAGGGAGTTCCGCAGCATCTGCTCTGCTCTGCCACCATTCCTAGCTGGATTCATGCCCAGGACACCGAGGACATGTGCAGAGTTGGAGGGTATTTGGAAGCAAGGCTATTAGCACAACTTGACAGCTACAGTGCGGGCAGGAGCTCACTTGGTGCACGTACCTGACCATTGTTCTCAGGAACCAGGGTCGGTTGACAATGGAAGGTACAGCCTCGTCCATCAGTGGATGTGTTTTGATGAAGTTCAGAGTATCATCTGGGAACTCATTAGATGTTACATATTTTTCTAATGATGTTGAGCCAGCACAGCAACCGGGCCTATATAAAACAAGAGAGTAAAGCCAGAAAACTTAAGCTTGACATAGAGGGCAAGCTTCTTTTTGTGATGAAGTTCTAACTGAAATATGATGTGCTTTACAGGAGTTTAACTTGGCAGAGGATCGATAAATGTGGTGGACTTGTTCAGCACCTCAAGAGAAGCCTAAAATCCTGCTCTGTCCTCCATTCAAAAGGACTTCATGTGTCACTTATGAGCACAAAGTCATTTTTTCATCAGGAGCACCACACACACAGTTTTGTAATTTATCCATTCATATGGAATGTAACCACAGCATGTGTGCATTTGGCTTGATGCTTCCCAATTGCACAGGTGTTTTCTGATCTGTAACTTGCCTAATTGACTGCTCTCTCCTGGAATAAAAGAAGTCCCTCTAATACAGTAGGAAGTTAATTTTTTTTAAACATGTATGAAAAAATGTTACTTTTAGTCACATCAGATAGAAAACAGACTGTTGAAGAAGACAAACCAAATAGCATCCATGTAAACATTGGTTTTGTCCTTTGTTCAATTTGGATGAGATGATTTAAGAATGGTAGCTCATTGAGAACTTTCACTGAAAAGTTATCTCCCATTCTTTAACAACCTAAATGCAAATCTGCTCGTGCTATTTCTAAAATCTACCTGCTCCTAAGACATAGTTCAATCTTCTTGCCTGGACAGGCCATCTCTCAAAAAAAAGCAGCAAAATGTTTTGCTTGTTAATATTGTGTAGGTAATTTTCTTTAATAAAAGGCCCATTTGATCCCATTTTCCAGAGCACAGTGATTCTGCAAACATTTGGGCCAGTGTGAGATGGGAAGATTAAAGATGGACCACTCACTCATAAACTCATTGCATCATCCTATTTTCATCTACTCTGCTGTGGATAAAGGCATTGACATCAAGAGTAATGTCAACTTGAACAAAATACAGGACTGGTGCTATCATCTGTGTTGCTCAGATTTAGATAAATATTAAAATATTAGGTAAATAAATCTTGTGTGGGAAGGTAGCATAGGACTCGAAGGAACTAGCTGTGTCAACAAGTTTGGTCCCACAAAAGCTGAGCAAGGAACATTACATGCAGACAATGTGTACTCTTGCCTCTTCATATCCAAAATACTTTAGCTGTCTTGTAATTGCATGTAGAACTAGCAACAGATGGAGAGAAGGAAAAATCAAGGGCAGCACTCGTTTCCTTGGTCCTTGCAAGGCATTGACCCATGAGACAACATTCCCAGAGAACTCCAGGGAACAGCCTGGCACCTTCTAGCACCATGGTGTCTACGGTTTCTCTGTATCTAATCTGGAGGCCTATTTACTCCTAAATCCTAATAGCATGATTGGATTAATCCTGTTTTAATCTCAAAACTGGTTTAGTTGAGTCAACATAAATCCCAGTAAACCTGCTGTCGGGCCAAACGGGGAAGTGACACCTCAGAAGAGTTCTGGTAGTTTTCTGAATAATGTTAGGATCAATAGGGGCAGTAATGTTTCTGCATCATACTGAAAAACCCTGATAAAAATGACCTTATTTCAAAGGTGCTTGTCATATACTTCAGCATGAGCTAAAAGTAATGATTATTTCTATTAAGCAGATTGATTGCTAAATATTATGTGAAACACTGTTCACAATTCACTTCACATTATGTCCTTCAGGCTTAGAAAGAGCAATATTGTCCCATCTTCATCATAAAAGTTAGCCTACTATTGGCTCATCCCAAACTTGTAATGCAACTTTCTGTTCCTCTCTCCCACTTTCTCCTTCTTCTTTTCCTCTTCCCTGACAATTTATCTCAGTAAGGTCCAAACAAATAACCTTGGAGTCATCATGCAGCCTTGCACCCCCAAGGCAGACCATTGTGTCAACAACTTGTTTGAAACACTGCAAAATGAAGAAGAAAATCCTGCAACACTGGTAGAAGCTGTGTTACTAAGGTTCAGACTGAAAAGAGACACAGAATTTACCAAATTTTCCAGTCACCTCCACGGTCTTCTCTTCAATGACAACTTCAGAATACAGACAGCACAGTAATATTACACTTGGCAAATCCAAAACATGACGGGCCAAATTTGGATTAGGCAGAAGCTCAATATCCATCATTGAGCTTCATAAACTCATAGAATATCATGAGCTGGAACCAACCCACAAAGACCACTGAAGTCCAGCTCCTGGCCCCACACAGGACATCCCAAGAATCACACCATGTGCCATAAGAGTGCTGTCCAAAAGCTTCTTGAGCTCTGTCAGACTGGTGGTGTGACCACTTCCCTAGAGCCCAAGTTCCAGTGCCAAACCACTTGCCTGGGTGAAGAACATTTTCCTAATGTCCAACCTAAACCTCTCCTGACAAAACTTCAGGCCATTCCCATGGGTCCCGTCACTGGTAACCACAGAGAAGAGATCAGTGTCTGCCCTTCCTCCTTCCCTCATAAGGAAGTTGTAGATTGTGACGAGATCTCCCCTTAGTCTCCTTTTCTTCAAGCAAGCCAAGTGGCCTCAGCCACTCCTCACATGTTTTTCCCTCTAAGCCCTTCAACATCTTTATAGCCCTACTTTGGATACACCCAACAGCTTTATATTCTTCCTATATTGAGGTGTTCAACATTGCACTGAGCCCTTCAGATGTTTTTTCTTTTGAAATTATTTAAGCTATCACAAGCAATGTAAAACATGCAATAGAGTGGTAAAGCTTAAGTGCGATAAATGAATTTGATTTATCTATATGCATCTCAATATCTCACAGCAAAATGCCATTGGTGTAAATGAGTTAACAAGTGTCTGTCAAGAGCAACTTGTTTGAAATGGTACTTGTAAGAAATATGAAGAATGTAGTAGAGGAGATGCATGCAAACATGTGGAAGTGGGGAAAACAACTCATAGGAGGAATAAGGTAAACTGAATCTCAGTTTGGTGGAATGCTCTTTTTTGCTCTCCACAAATCATCCATTGTGGCACTTAAACTGCATGTTAATCATAGAATAGCAAACTGCAGAACTGGTGCAGGCTTTGTAATGAGATATATCTGTTACTGAACCAATTTGCAACAACTGTGTAATTCACACCACTCTTAAGTGATTATTCTGACCAAGTGGATCTGATGCTGGCCTGATATATGTTACACAAATCTCATTTAAGTGGAAAAATCTCTATTGCATAGTTTAGATCCAAATTTAACTCAACTTTTACTTTATTGTTTCAATATGTATAATTGTATCGGCACCTTACAAGGCTGTTCAAAATATGAAAAAGCCTCTGTAGCCCACATGAAGGAACTGAACAATATCACTGTGCATGAAACATACCTGGGCTTGGGCACTCGTTCATCAGGAACTGGTGTCCATGTGGAGTCTGGAGACTTTTGTTCTTTGAATCTCCCAGTAAATACATTGGCAATGTCAAGCATGTCATAGGCACAGACTGCAGAGCCAGGGATGCTGCAAAGTGACATTTCCCAGAAATTGTTACTCATTCTGCAGTTATGCATAAAACCTTGAGCGAAAAACATGCTTTATAGAAGGCTTCCTTTACTCAATACTGAACTCTGAATCTGGTATTAACCGGAAAAGCCAGCCCCATGGCAAAGCCTGAATACCAATCAGCAGGCAGCTCCTGCCAAGAAATTTTATTCAAAGCTTCTACAGAAAGAAGTAATTGCAATAGTCTTGAAGAAGGGAAAGAATCGGTGAAACACTGGCTATCACTGGCAATGCATGAGAAGCGATCGCCAGTCTCATTCAGAACCCATTACTTGGACATTTCAGGTCTTCTAAGTCATAGCATCTCTCAGTACCGAGAGTCCTGTAGTCCCTGCCATGCCTCAAAAAACACATTGCAGATAATTCAGAAGTTGGTTCTAATCAAACTGGAAGCGTGCTGCAGTGTGCCATTTACCTGGCTTTTACATGTAATTAGTTCATGCTCCCACAGCCTGATATCCATGAAGTGTTCCCAGTGAAAAGGTGTTAACTATGCTCAGGAGTTTGCTCTACTCAATGCAATGTAAAGAGCTTATAGAAACTAATTTGATATTAAAGATCATAACATTGCAAATTTCAACTTTTTGGATAGTTGCATGCAACTCCACAACAGCATTGTCCAAACATCATTAATTTTTTACCAACATACTTTCTGAAAGGTGTATGGGTTTAGCATGGTTAGTCACTTGGAAGCACGAAATATTCATTTATCACCTATTTTTTAAAATTTTGTACATGAACTACTGTATTTGTGTCTGACTCCCATCACTTGATTTTATTGGGTAAATAGCATGAAACCAGCTGGCTGAGGCTTTCAATCCTGCTCTTAGCTAGTAGGTCTTTATACATCAAAGAAAAAATGTAGGAACTATAACACTGTTACAGAGGATGAAGCTAAACTCCTAAAGGTATATAAATTTATAGAAAAACAACCATTTGAAGAGTAAACAATTTCAAAATGCTTTTTACTGAAGAAAAACAACAAGTTGAGAGACAGTACAGTAGTTTTATTTTGATCTCCACAGATTTATTTTCTTATAGAAGGAAATGTCAAAGCTCAATATTAATGTGATACTGCACAGCAGGAGTTTTAAATGGAGGCAGCCATATACATGTTGATGTAAGAGACGGTGAAGGGTGTATTTGGCCACAGAGGACCTCAGCTCAAGACCCACTCCAGCTAGAATATTTTACACATTACTGAATTAAGTCCTAAAGACAAAAAAAACATCATAAAATCTTGAGGTGTGTTACACACAACTACAAGTGCTCAACACACAACTACACGTGGATGGAGGCATTGCTGTGCTCAAAGGACTGCAACGTCTTTTACTTGTGAGGGTGGCAGATTACAGGTCTGTAGTATGATGCAGTGGGAAGGATGGAGCACTGTGGGTCACAGCCAAGGAGGTCCAAGCCACCTCTGAACTACTGGACTACAATTCAACACTAGCTTCTGCCTGAGTGACCTCTGATTAGACTGAAGAATCTCTTCCACTTCAGTCTAGAAGGAAACTTTGTCCTAGAGACCTAAGGTATTTGTTTCAACCTTTCTTTAGTGGAGAAGGAATGAGAGATGCATTTATGTCAGAAGTAGGTTTCATACAGCTACAGAATCACAGAATATCCTGAACTGGAAGTGACTCACAAGGATCATTGAAGTCCAGTTCTCCTACACAGGACATCCCAAGAATCACATCATGTACCTGAGAGCATTGTCCAAATGATGTTTGTCAGGCTTGGTAACTTCCCTGGGGAGCCTGCTCCAGTGCCCAACCACCCTCTGGGTGAAGAACCTATTTTTTGTAATATGCAACCTAAACCTCCATGACTCAGCTTCCCCAAGTCCTCTTACAGGCCACCAGAGAGCAGAGATTGGTTCTTGCCCCTCCTCTTCACCTCATAAGGAAGTTCTGAACTGCTGTGAGGTCTTCCCTCAGTCTCCTCTCCTCCAGGCTGAACAAGCCAAGTGGCCTCGTTCACTCCTCATATGCTTCCCCTCAAGTCCTTCACCACCTTCATTACTCTCCTTTGGATGGTGTCTGATATCTTTAGATTCTTCTAATATTGTGGTATCCAGAACTGCCCCCAGCACACGAGGTCAGGCTGCCCCAGTGCAGAGCAGAGCAGGACAATTCCCTCCCTTGTTTGATTGGAGATGCTGTCCCTGATGTCCCCCAGGACACGCTTGGCCCTCCTGGCTGCCAGGTCTGCTAATAAGCTGTGTCCAAGAATATATGCCTTCCTGTCATCTTCCATGTGTGGCAAAACCTGCAGCCTTTAAAATAGTATTTTGTTTTTGACACCAAGTACTTAGATTCTAAAATGCGAGACTTAAGGAAAAGAATTATTCATGACACGCCACAGGAAATACTAACAGAGGGGGGGAGAGTACAATCTCAATGTTGAGATAACTGCAAGATACAATCTGTTTTCTGATGTTGAATCTCTATTTGTTCACCTGTTTTTATTAAGCCAGATTGCATGAAAAGAGATCATCTTGATTTAAGCTTGTATTCCCTATTGGTGGCATAATTATTCCATTGCAGTTCTTATTGTTTTGATCTCAAAAGCAGTGATTTTACATTACAGGCCTACGCTTACTCTCATTTGAAGTCAGTTCTGTGAATGACCTTACTGAGGTCAGGCTTCGACAAGGGGTGGCAAGGATACAGCAAAACTAAATGAATTTCAACAATAAAATTCCTCTTTTAGCTCAAATGTTACTCTGTGAAACTGTGATATATTTTTAATTAGAAAGCTACTATTTTTTTAACTTCTTTGGGATTTCTCAATAATTAGATACAGTTATTCTAATAACTTCCAGAGAAACACGCTAAAATGTGTAACAGTAATAAAATCTCTACAGATGAATTGATGCTTTTGGAATACCATGTAAACAATGAAATAGGGACCTTCCTTCCCAGACAGCAAGACCTTCGTTCTCCCAGGATAGTCAGGGGGCAGCAGGGTCAATGCAGGGTCAAGGATCAATGCAAGAGTCACCAGGGATGCATAAAACAAAAAGAAGTAGATAACATGGTTCTTGGAGGTTTAGCTACAGACAGGACAGACACAATCCTTTCTTTGTGAGGAAAAAAATACTGTATTTTCTCTTTGGAATAATATTCTGCAAGTTACATGCTGCAACACTTCTTGGTGGCTGGTGTGAACTACTCCCTTGTAAAGAAAAGTATGTCCGAGGAGTATGTCCACATAGTAAGTGGCTGAAACCCACCCTAAGTTATCAGGTGTGAAGCAAGCAATACCAGGGTACCTTAAAATTGAACACAAACTATCAGTAAGTGCAGGGTACATAATAATTATGTTGTACTAGCAATCACTTCTTGTGCTTGCGTAAAATAAAAAGGAAAAAAGCAAAACATTTTTTGCGGTGAAAAGCAAAACATAAAGGAAATAGAAGGTAAAAGGTTATTGTGGCTATTACCTATTATATGGAGTGGAGAATGTTGCTAAAACAACATCCCGGCCATTGAAATGGATAACATCTGTGACTGACTGCAGTATGTTAAAGTAGAAGTGTGAGTCGCCAGGAACTGAGCAGTTCAACCGAGCCTTGAGAAAGGAAGTCCACTGTTTTTCCAGCACTCTCTGAGATCCTCCCATGTCATTTTTGCAAACCTGGGCCACCCTTGGGAAAACAACCTGGAAGGGATAGAGCAAAAATAATGGAGAAAATTAAATCTTTGTTGGAATACTGCTTTTAAAACATTTGGAATAACACAGCAAGGTGCTTAATTTAATACCACTTTTCTATAATCTGTGACAAATAAGAAACAGAGAAAAATTAAGCTTTGGAACAGTGTGCTATGAAAGATAAGACTGTGGCATTTACTACACAGCAATAAATCCTTCAGGAGATCTGTTCTCAACCCATATAAAACTCATTTCCATACAGACTGCTTAGCTTTCTATTTCCCCAAACAAAAGCACATTTCATATTCACAATCCCTGCAACCCACACTGCTGCTCCAATTCTTGTGTCTTCAGCACTTAAAAACTATGCAAATCTTGCTGGGCTTTTATTCCTGCTCTCCACCTTTGTGACCTTGGTCAGCTTTTCTGACCGCTTAGTCAGAAAGCTGTTGTGAAATTAGCAAAAATGCAGAAAGTGCTTAATTATTCTTTGCAGAATGGCAGAGCACAAAATTCCTACCCTTGTTTACTCAGCACCCTAATTAATACTTCTTACATTAAAAATTCTTCCTACTTTGGAATCTGTTTTTAACAACTATCTACTGTTGTTAAAATGTACTGAACTAAGTACATTAGCCTTGTGCTTTCTATAATTTCAGAAAAGAGACTAGCATACACCATCACTGTAAGAAACCACACATTTTCCTTTCAAGACAGTGCAATGTTTCACTCCAGCCAACCTTTTGGCTTGAGCAATAGGAATCTTCTCAAAATGCTGACCTTGTCATCATGATTTATGGTTCTCATTTCAAGGTCACTCGTAACAGCATTGGTCCAAGAATAGCATAAATTTTCCTCCTCCTCAATCTGACAAAGTCATTCAAGGCAGTGTTTTTGCCCTTACCTTTCCCATGCTGTTGTACTCCACTGCTATTTCCCGGAAGAAGAAGTATATGTAATTGCCATAGTCAACTGCCTGAACAAAGTACGGCTCTAGAAAAAAAAAAAAAAAAACAGCAACCCAAGACACCTGATTTAGGCACAGGATACAGAATGCAAAGAGAAGCCAAACACATTCACACTTAACATCCAGAAGTGAAATGTCTGTGCTTGACAAACTTGATCAGTTTTCAGAACAAACAAATCACTGCTGCAGAAGAATCACTGTCTGGGGACAGGAGAGCTGGGAACAAGTCTGCACAACATCACTGCAGGGTAGTTAAGTCTCTGCCACTAATATGTCTGCCCTGCACGGAGTAAGAGGAAAGGTAAACAGGCATTTATAACTGTATGCCTGAGGGGTCCAAGCAGCGCTCTTTATGGCATGCAGGCTGTGAGCTGAGGGAATAACAAACCACGTAACTGTTTCTGCCCACACGTGTCTGTAGCAGCAAGCAAAGTGGGACAGCTAAAGTTGACACCTGGCAAAACATTTCTGCATGCAGAAAAAGACTTGAAACTATGGCTTTGCTCTCTGCTAAAATCACTCCAAATGCTAACAATTCTTAACACCTACATGAAGCTAAACAGCGCAATTCTTAACAATGAGGGCATTTAGAGCACAAAAATTGCCTAATTCAATGGCAGCCGTACAATTCTTAAGAACGGTAACAGAAAGGCTTTGTGCAATATTCCCATAATTTTATTTTCATTAATGAATCTTAGCATTACAGGACAAACTTTCTATACTTCATATAGCCTTGATTGCTACCTAACAGTGCTGTGGCAGGAATATTTTCAAACACAGCCCAAGCACACAGAGCCCTGCAAGCTCCAACTTTTCCATCCAACAGACGTAAAGTGGTGGATTTCAGCTTGGAAACCTCACTGGAATATATATTCTGATCTACCCAGCTCACAGCTTCTGTTAAATCCAGTAACTTGAGGTCAGGAGAGGAGTGAAAGAGATAAACAAATCAGAGTAAGCAAGAGATGTAATCTGCTTCCTCCTTTCTGCCAGAAAGCATTGGTGAAATGAAATGACAAAGAGGTCTGTCAGAAATCCAAGACCCTCTCATCAGAGATGCTGTTTTTTTGCCACGTTTATCTACCTTTCAACCACTTGGAGTCATGTTTAACTGTCCGCAGAGTTGGGCTGTCTCCCAGGCTCCGGTATATGACTGCATCTATCGCAAGGAAGTCGGTCACTGTGGCAGAATACAGCTTTCCCTCTGGGGAGGAAGGAAAGAAGAAACAAGGGGGGAGGAGCATTAGAAATAGTACAATTGCTTCTTCTCTCATCAGTCAGATGAGAAGGGGAAACAAAACCATCACAGTCTCCTTAGGAGCACCAAAGGAAGGAAAAAATCCAGCTAGGTAAACAGAACTGAGTACTGAACAAGCAACTCACCCCTCTGCAAAATGGTAATTTCAGAGGGATGCTGTGGAAGAAAATAATCTTACGGAATAATTCTTCTTCAGTTTAGGTATGTCATACTGAACTACCCTATCCAGTCACATGTCACTAGTTCAACGCTCAGAAATTCTGCTTAGGTATGTCAGCAAAACAAATAGAACAGAACTGCTAGTTTTAACTGGGAGTGCAAACCAGACAGCGCTTGAAGACTGTCAGCTAATTTATGCTTATGAAAATTTCTCCCCTTGAGAGCACTTCTGCTCTGCCAAAGATCACTAACAAAAAATTAAATAACATGCTGGGAGCCCTGCTGAAACAGGAATGAAAAGAGATGGAGGAGGATTGCCCATCAATATTTCTTTTCAAGCATGCATTTTAGGCATTTTCCATACGAATTATGCACTCCTCTCTCCTAAAGAATGGAGGACAAGTGATAAGAAAGGGCCTACAAAATGGCACCCCAAGAACAACCAAAACATACAAAACTATAAGGACATAAAAACGCAAGGTTCAGCAACATTTTAAAATTTTATTTGTTGTCTTCTTTGTTTGCAGGTCGTGATAAATGTACAGGACTGTTTTCATGTGTGAGATAGATCTTGGAACACGATGTCTGCTAGAAGCACAAGTGGTGAAGCATGAGCACACAAAATTGTTTCTCTATTGTGTCTGCATAAAAATCAGAATTGTCTACATCTTGTTTGACAGAGATTATGTTGGTGTCTAGAAGGCACCAGCACTGAGGAGATTCCCAGGACAAAGCAGAGAGGCTTCTATTGGTCAAGCTCTCCTCATTATACTTTCAGACTTAGTTTAAGACTGAGAGGGAATCTCATTGATGCATACAACTGTCTCATAGGCGGTTGCCAAGAGGAGGTTGCTGGACTCTTTTCAGTGGTGTCCTGTGACAGGACGAGGAGCAGTGGCCATAAAATAAAGCTCAAGAGCTTTCCTCAACATCAGAAGAGCTTCTTTCCAGTGAGGGTGGCAGAGCACTGTACCAGCCTTCCCCTGGAGGTTGTGGTCTCCTCTCTGGAGGCATTCAAAGCCCACTTGGACACCTTGCAGTGTCACTTGCGGTTGGTGACCCTGCCTTGGCAGAGTGGGTTGGGCTGGATGATTTCCAGAGCTCTCTTCCAACCCTAGAAACTCTGTGAGTCTGTGAATTTCAGCTCCAAATTTAAAATTCCAACTGTCTTTTATTAGCAGTACTGTATGCTTTGTTCTGACTCATGCAATTCTTGTCCTTATTTGGCTACTTAAGAATGATCATTTTTTCTTAGCAAAACAGAAAAAAATTATTACTACATGTGCCCCCCCTCCTCAATTTAAAATAGAATAAAAAGCTCAATTGTTTAGATATGGACGTCTGAACTCATGTTTATACAACCACGGTCTTATTTTCTTTCCTGCCAAATTCCTGTGACCAACTACAATTCACACACATCAGCTGTAATAGCTACAGGCTGCAAGAAGAGCCATACTCATGAAAGTGCATCCAACAAACTCAGATGACTTGGATTAGTGCCCTAAACTGTTCTGAAATTGCTTTTCATTGCACTCTGAAAAGTTAGCATGGGTATCAATATGTAAGACACATATAACAATGATTTTCTGAAGCTAGCAGATTTACAAGGCATATTCCACAAATATTTATTTGAACTGTATCAAGTTCATTCTGAATCACCATGAAGGAGTATGATCATTTCTATAAATATTCTCTTTATTTTCAAATAATTCAAGGATTTCTTCAGTGACAAATTTGGAGTCATCTTTCTGAACTTCATCTGCATTCAAAGTGAATGTTTACAATAGGCTGGTCATAAACACTTTCTTGGCCAATATACTGAGAAAGACCCTTCTGAAAGGTCATTCAGGCTGCACTAAGGATAGGGAGTCTGAGATACATGGGAAAAATATTTCTCCAAAGGAGTTTCTCTATTTCCATGCTTTATTATTTACTTGCTGCAGTTAGAGAATTTCTACTGCATATTTCTGCCCGTGACTGTAATTAAGAAATCACATATTACCACTATCATCATCACTATTCTTGAAACAAAAGGACCATTTATTTGCACTATAAAAAGTATTAAAAGAAAAAAAAAAAAAGAAAAGATTGAAGCAGGTTATAAAATCTCTCCTTTGTGAGGCAGAGGACGATACCTCTAACATCGTAGTGCTTAATAGAACCTTTGGCTACAGACTTGTTTGAGAATGGCTGAAATACTTGCACATTCTTAAATCTTCAGAGGAATAGCTTAGTTATTTCCATGTGAGCACCCAGGCTGTTTTATAGCATCACATTTGCTGAAGAGAACTCACATTATCATGGAGGATGTTTTTATTATTTTCACCACCTATCTAACAGCCAGATCTAAGAAAAGATCAGCAGGGTTTACACTAAGAGAAGTTCAATAAAGAAATAATTTAATCAGGAATTTCTGATGAGATATACAAAAATACCACACAATCAATAGCCAAAATTTATAAGATCTCACTTTTTCTAACTATTGTAGTAGAAATCAGAATTAACACTATTCTGCTGCATGAAGCATAAATCACCGCTAGCCAATACACATCTCTCCTTTTTTGTACAGCAGATGGTAAGACCACAGTAAGATGCTTTCACCTTAAAAAAAAAAAAATCACTTTCCCTTTCCTTCTTGATCTAGTAAAGGGCATGCCACAGCATTTTCTGTAACTTCCTTTTATTATGAATGTTAGCTTAGGCTTAGAGTTGTTAATGAGCATATCCTGCTTAATCCTAATTAAAGCTTACACAAGCCTTGATTTCCTTTGACGTTCACAGAAGCTGAATGCAGCCAAAAATGGTGCCTCACGCTGGCCATATTATCAAGAATACAGGAAATACTGAAACATTGATCCAGGAAACTGAGGCTTTATGCAATGTTGATGACAGTGAAGTTAATTTCAGAGAAGGGTAGGAGTTTTTTGCTAGGGATTTTCTTATGCCCCCTCTTTTTAGTCATTGTTTACTCCCTTTGACACCACTTAGATTTAGGCATTCTTGGCTCAAGCAAGAGGCACAGTGTTACACCAAGCCTGGTCTGCAGCACAGAAAGTAAAAAATTTATCTCTGTCATTTTACCTGCAAACAATGCAACGTTGGCATGCTTTGCATCATAGGGGCACCTGGCCATTCCACTGAATTCCTCTTCCAGATAGTCCAAGGTATCCATCTGAAAAATCAAAGGGAGTTCCTCAGACAGAGAAACAAAGAAACAAAACTTCTCACCCAGGATGAAACTTATGACAGTGTTTCTTCTTTTCTGGGCAGAGGAGAAGGCTTTCTCTAACTCTACTCCTAACTATGAAGTAAAAAACTTGACAAAAATCATGGCATTAAATAAAGTAAGCCTGAAAAATGTATGTCCAGTAAGTCAGGCATTCTTTTGGACTTAATAATTCCCACCCTGACAAATTTTACTGAAGTCTTCAGTCTATATTTTATCTGCACACAAGTTTCATTTGCAACTGTAGCAGGCTATGTGGTCTGTGGTTCTGGCAAGGCTCCAACATATATCCTCCCCAGTGACCCAACAGAAGCGCTCTTATACACAGAAAAGACTGCAAACCACAGCATTCAGAAGAAACAGCACTGGGACAATTATCTCTGTGTGCATTTTTCTCTCGCAAGTCCAGAGGTCCTTCTGCTCTAGTCTCAAGAGCGGTGCTCTCTTCCTTGATTTGCATATTCAGAAAGATGCTCTTCAAGTTTTACTGTACCAGTTGAGTCTGTGTCACAGAGAATCTTCTTACCATCAGGCAAGAATTAATCTGTGCAGGAATTGTAGATTCTGAGGCTTATATGTAACTCCTGGGAAATAGATTCACCCTGGGCACTGATAATGACACAAATACAGATAGGCTTTACACGAAGCTCAAGAAGGTTTGGTGAGCTAAAGGAGTATTGTATACCTGTTACCCTTTTAAGATGCTTATACTACAGCATTTTGGAAATAAGAACCTTTGTAGCACATTCAGGCAACTTGTCCAGCTCATACTCTATAGATCACATACAGCAAATATTCACAGAGCATGACAAATAACCCACACAGCACCATCCACTTAAATAAACTCTTAATTTGTATGTTACAGCTTCCAAGTCCTTCAGCGGATGATTTGTGATAGTTTGTTTTCCGTCATGTATCCTTCCTGTCAAAATCCACTCTGAGGGGAGTCAGTTGTGTTTACTCAAAGGCTGAAAAGCATTTCATGTGGTAGTGAGAGGAAACGAGTCCTGAGTAACTTTTCTTGCACCCAGCTCCACACCCTTGGCTCATCCTCACAACCACTGGCATGCTTGAGGGACAGCCCTGCTTTCTGTTTGGCACATGTTTAGCTCTCTCTCTGTATAATGAAGGAATACATGGAGGAAAAGCCAGGGCAGGTGTTGCAGAGGCCTTTTGAAGGCTGCCAGATCCAGAGGGATCATTATCCAGCCCTGCATCATGGGGGATGAAAACTCTGGAGTAGGGGTGTAGTACTCTGGAGTAGTACGCCCTGGAGTAAGGGTAAGGAGGCCATTTATATGCCTTACATTAAGATGCCAAAGAAATCTATAATTATAACTAAAAAACAACTTCCACACAAGGAGACTGGCTGAGATTTGATAGCCTTATTAATGGAATTCAGAGATTAAAAATTACAAACTGTAGTAGAAGAATAAATACAGCCCAGTGATCAAGAAGCTTCATTGCATACTAGGAGCAAGCAAGGAAAGAAAGAATAAAAGAAACAGCTGTTAACAGAGTAGCTAACTGTACCTCACAGTTACCATGACACAGGCTTGTGTTCTTACTCAAATTTGGTTCTTCTGCCACAGACTGGAAGAAAATACTACCCTGCACTTCTCTTCTGTGTTTTCTAAACTGCAGCCACTATAGTGGCTAAATGAGGTAAAGCATCACTGTGCAAAAATCAAGGAAGACCACCAGTTACAGTGAATACCATTAGGGAAGTAGTTTTCCTGGCTCTTAACATCTTTATTCTGCTTTTTTACAATAACTCTGAACCCAAAACCAGAATGACAGTTCTGATTTTGTCAGGAGCAGCATTAGCAAAACTGAAATTTATTTTTCCAGAAAAAAAGATGAGAAATTACCTGTGGGACATAACAGTGTCTAGAAAAGCAGAGTCTGGATGTCAAATGCCTAAATAAATTAATTTCAAAGCTACTCCAGAGACATCCACTGTTGGGAGTGATATCAGAATATAATGGTGAAAGTCTAAGAAAATGGAAAATATTTCAATAAGTGGGTCCTATTGGAATGAAGACTACTGAGATACACTATGCCAAAGGAATAAACTGGCTTCAGGGCATTAATATCAAGTATGCAGGGACCAGCAGAGTTTCTACACTGCTCTAGATAATGTTTTGGTTTTGCAGAACCCCAGCAAGTGAGGAATAATTCTCTGTCCTGCTGTACTGTTCCTTGCGGAGATTTGCTCTTCCATCACTCTCACAGCACACAATGCCATTGGATCTCCACAGCAGGGATCTCCACTCCCTGTCTGGGGGGTTCACAAGAAACTCGGGTTTTGCTTGCTATGCCCCCAGGCATCTTCAGAACTGGTTTTGTGATTTAGAACAATAGAACAGAAATTTTGAGACATGCTACTCAGAAGTAACCCCCAATATTATTGATGTGAGTGTCAGTGACAAGCTGAGGAACTTTCTGAGGAGGGACTACAGCCCCAAGCAGAGATTTGAAGGACTCTGTACCTATGGGGGCAATGCAGAGTGGCAATACTCTTGATGTGCAGGAGTTGCAAAGAACTAGGTACTCAGTCTGAGATTTTCTCAGAAACCCAATCAATATTGAACTCTGTAGCACTGAAACAAGTCAGGACAAATGTTTCAGAGTGGAATGGTGCACAGGTGAAGGACAATCTCATGCTGCTGCCAACACAGTCACATTAAATCCAACAAAAAGACAAGGCATAAGTGAAATTCTACAAATTACATACCTTGTAGTTCCTGCAAGAAGGGTTGAATGCATTTGTTCCACAGATAAACAGCGTATCCTCATTTCTTTTAAGGAGAACCTTAATAAAGTTATGACATTCATCCTGAAGAAAAATAATAAAAACTATTTCAACTACTGCATTTTGAGCATCTGTTTTCATTTTTAAGCAGTGATATTTCACAGGTTTAAAATTAAATTGGCTGGTACCCACTGCGATACTCTGGCCTTATTTTGACTATGTTTAACTAACAATGAGCAATTTGTAAATAATTTATATTCTAGTGGTTTAAAAATTACAAAGAGCTGGAGATACAGCATTCATATTGTAGCTCCTAGTTTGCTGTTGTTGACAAAGGTGAATTTTGTTTGAAAACTGTTGCTTTCCTGAAGAGCAAAAAATCTGATTTTATCACCTGTGCCCTGTCAGTGACATGACCACTACAATGTACTGGCATAAAGCTTCTGTAGCTAGAAGGGGAAGTAGATGTAAAGAGTCAAAGAGCATGCATTTAATTATGATATTACTTGTGCCAGTCATAGCTTACAGGAGGGTAAAACTGGTGTGAGAAACAGTCCTTCTACAGCCCCACATTCATGTTTTCTGATGCTTTACCTGAACTCCTCAGTAAATTCCCACAGAGGGATGGACAGCAGCACTTGGCTTTTGAAGCAATGGCAAGCAAAACTGGTACACTAAGCAGTGTGACCTGCTCAATGCCTTAAATATTTCAGGATATTGCTGTGGCTTCTGTCCTAATATTTTACCACATTCAAAGTGAACTGTTTTTGCAAATTAAAACCTTCAGTAAGTTGATGGAAAAAGCAATTACTGCTAAGAAGTGAATGGCATGAACCATTGCACATCACAGACAGCAGCCTGGGATAATAGTGATGCAACTAAACTAAAGTGGCAGTTGCAGAAGAAATGAAAATTGCCTACCTTATGTTTTCCCTTCATTCTGCATGTATCTACATCAGCTTGTCTAGATTTCCATGTCAATTTCTGCAATAAAGAAAGAAATCAATTAGAACTCAGAAGTTTTTTACTTTTGATTTCAGAAGTAGAAGTCCTGTAGGGGAGCCTAGCTTTTGAACATACATTTATTGAAAGTTTTCTGCACTCTTTCTCCATGACTAATTCACCACAACAATGAAAGTTTAGTGATGTGGATCATTCATTTAAACTTTGTTTTGCCGCAAATTCATGAGACTGGAAATCCATCCCTCTTTCTTTAAAGCTTAAACTAACAGAATTCAACAATAGCCCAACTTTGAAAAATGTGTACTTTTCTTAAAAGTAGTAGATGTTCTCTTTTAACTGATATTGATCTACAAATCAGAATTATAATTTATGGACTATGAACCTTCACTGGATTCTAAATGAAATATACATTATCAAAGACAACATTTTAGATCTGGAAAGAAATAAAATTCAGGTAATTCTTACCACTTCAATTCAGCTAACAAGCTCCAAAAGTTTTTCATCTGTCGAGACACTGCTGACTTTATCTGCTAACACTCTTCCTTTGGAAGATTTACAGATAAATCCCAGCCAGTTTGGCTTTTTTTTGAGATATGTTTCAAAAATGGTCAAATGTGGAAGTCTTATTAATTATAATAAAACTTTATTTAAAATCACATGGCCTAAGAAGGCATCACTTTAGACATCATTGCCATGATTGTTCTGAGTGTTCCTGATCACTAAACTGAGGCACTGTGCATTCATGGAGGGGTCCAAGCTGAAAGAGTAACCATGAATGTTCATTTCCATTGTAAGCTTGTTCCTTACTCTTTGAAGAGTGAAAAAGCTCATTTTCACCATCATTCATAGTTGTAATGAAGCACTGTCCCCTCCTCCAGTGGAATTCATCCAATGCCCAAATTTTTAAGATATTCTGTCAGACCAAGGCTGTGTTTAACATATGTTACACAACATGAATGCAAGGCAAAGGAGGTGAAGGCAGATTCTTTTCAGCATGTTTGTGTTAATATACAATGCAGTAATGCAGGCAAAGCTTTTTTTTGTTTGATTGTAACTTCCCATGGAGATAATGGGAATACATTAATATTCACATTAGCATTAGCATTAGTTTAATGTGAATTAGTATTGGTATAATGTGAATACACTACAAAGTGATGTTATACTAAGAATATATTTAGTCAGTTCTTGCACAAGTGAAACAAATTTGTGTACGTGAAAATATGTAACTTGCTTCTTATGACAAAAGTTTCAGTAGACTTAATTGGGATTGTATAGCTGTTATAGAAAACTGCTGCATATAAATGAATAGATGTTTGACAGATGTTCCATCAGGGACCTCACCATATTTCAGTACAGATTGCTTATCAGCCCAGCTAAACCACTTATCAGAAATTCGCAGAGGACATGATTGCTATTGTAGCTCTCCACAAATATGATTACCAATGCCATCTTACTTGCTTATTACAGCTTTACAGCAGTGCTGGCAAGTTCTTTAAAACAATGTTACCATCCTATTTATTTGAAGCTTGTTCTAGTGTCCTTGGTTTCTGGGTGATGATAAAAGCTACTTACTTTGCTAAAATAAATTTCTTCTGTATGTGATGTGTCCATATCAACAGTATAAATATGGTCCCTGTAAACAAAAGCAAAGAACACGAAGTCAAATGGAGTAGTCAGACAGTTCATTTTCTATAAGAGAGCTATCTATCACAAGATAATCCATAATCCATTTTAAAAAAAAATCAGAGGTCTTACCAGAAGACATTACTGGCTGCATCTCCTGCTTCTCCCACAAAAGCATTTTCACATATAAACTGTTTGCTTTCCCATTAAGAGAAAAAAAGAAAAGTGCTAAAAACTTCAAAGTAAGATTCTTTCCCAAAAGCAATTATTTGAACAAATGAGATTTGGGAAAGTGGATGAGTCTCACATGATTTCTGCTCTATCAGTCCTACAGCAGATGCCACAATCTAGCATGCAGATGTTTTTCTGTATCCTGAAATCAGCTGCAATAGATTTTAGGCACACTTTGCCAGATTCCTGGGCTAGATGTCACTGTGCCACATTGAGTCATTTAAGGTTTTCCCTTTCCTTTCCCTTTCCCTTTCCCTTTCCCTTTCCCTTTCCTTTCCTTTCCTTTCCTTTCCTTTCCTTTCCTCTTTCCTTTCCTTTCCTTTCCTTTCCTTTCCTTTCCTTTCCTTTCCTTTCCTTTCCTTTCCTTTCCTTTCCTTTCCTTTCCTTTCCTTTCCTTTCCTTTCCTCCTTTGTCCTTTTTTTTTTTTTAAATATGTGTCTAACCTTAGCTGTTATAATTTGATTGACAATATGGTAGACAAAAAAAGGCACAGAACTATTCCCAGAAATTATTATTTTCTTCACACACTGCTGGCCAAACTAAACTGCAAAATATTTCTCTGAAAAAAGTTCACACTTTTTTTCTCACATTTACCTTCCTATTTTCCTGAGAATCTGTTCCTCTCTACAATTAGCTGCCAATCTGTTCTTAGAAAGAGGAAACAGACATAGCTCATCAGGTAAAGAGATCTTTTTGGGCATCCTCTTCCGTGTAAGCTGAGAAAAAGGACAGCTCTGTATAGAATCCAAAAGTTGAAAAAGCCCACCAACCCACAACACTGTAGTAACCACCACATCAAATTGAGACTGAGATCTCATTTTTTCCTTGAAATGAAATTGATTTTTTTTAACATGCAGAAAGCTGTCCAGCTGAAGTGTGATCCACAACATTGGAAGGTCTGCTGAATGCAGAATACAGGCTCTTTCCATTTTAGAAATCCCTGCTCTCAAGGTTAGCTTCATATTTACTGGGTTTTGGGAAATATTGCTAGTCCCTTTAACTGAGACAAACAGAGGATACTGCTACAAGAGAAATAAGTAACACTTCTCTCGGATGAAGAAAAGTGGCAGTATTGTGGTAGGGAACTGGCTTTGAAAATTTGTCTCCTGTGGAGCTTGAGGCTGTTTGCTTTGCAAGATGCCAAATCAAGGAGTTGATGGGTTTTCTTCTCCTCCAGACTCCACAACCAGAGCTGTCATTTACTTACAAGATTGGTTTAATACTTCAATTTATTATTTGCCTGACTTCAGTGACAGAGCAGTGGTCAGGGTTGGTTCTGGAATAAAATTACCTATTAGCACAATATCAGCTTCATAGATTACATCATAGTTCCCTTTTTATGTGCATTAATCTTTATTGCTGTCACTCCTGCTATATAAAAGTGGGGGAAAAAATGTCTTGAATTGCAAATATGGTGCAGGTGGACCTCTAAAACCCTTCTTCTGGCACAGCTTTTGATTTTATTCATCAGCCTTGCTTTCCAGAGGTTACAATTTTTTTCATTTTCAGCAAGACAATTAGAAAATACAGCAGTGGTACTCAGCAAGAGCTGAGTTGTTTGATTCCTCCTCAATAAAACCATCTTTAGAGGACTTACTATCTGGTTCAAAGAACAGTTCAAATGAAACTCTGATGCTAAGTTATGGGATTGTTGGAAAAAAGGAAAAAATTGCATATCATTTTCTCATGCCACAGATGAAGCACAGTTGCTGACAATGTCAGTAGAGAGTAAAAGAGCTGTCCAATATAGAGGAGGGCTCCCTAATCGCAGAAAACGTGGGATTGTTCTCATTCTCCTTTTCCCACTGCTGCCCAACTCCTGCTTTCTACTAGCTGTGCTATGGGTACAGTTTACTGCTAATTAAGTTATTCTAACACAAATTTACTTAATCCTTGAGCTTCCGTTTTTCCCACCTCCAGTCAGCAGAACTGAGTTTTGTTGCCATGGCATAATCTTGTCGAGGAAGGGAATTTAAATAATGCCACTGGCTGTGGACGACCCTTGGCACTGGGAGCATGGTTTGGAAACACATAACAGCAAAGGAGGAGGGAGCCATCCCATACCCTGCTCCATGCCTCTTTGGTTCACACACACAAGAGGGTGGCAGATAATGTGAACAAAAGCTGCCACTGCATGAGACAATGGGAGGAGGAGACAGAGCAAACTTAGAAAAGGATGTGTGTGCTTGGGTGTGGGCCAGTGAGAGAGAGATAGGGAGGGAGCACCCTTCCCAGGAGAAAAAAGATGACAGAGCCAATCCTTAGCAAGCCTGCTCAGACAGTAAAGCTTTATGGCCTTTGGCTGAGCTATTCTGATTTATATTGGCTGTGTATTTTTGTCTGATAACATGAAATAATGCCTTTGTGAAGGGACACAAAACTTTATTTGGTAATAGCTAATACAGGAGCTGTGTACCCCATATGACAAAACAAGTAGTGGGCTGACAGAAATTTTGTTCTATGCCAGTTGATCATTAATGAAATGTAAGCAGTTCTCAAATCTGAGTTAGCCTTAGTGGGCTGAAACTGCCTGCAAAAGTCAACACTGGATTTTCCAAAACAAGCAAATAAAAAAACTCCCCAACCTAAACACAACAGCCCTAAAATAAAAACGCTCACTATTCAACCATTTGTTTTGATTGTCTTTCAGATAATTGAGTAAAACATAAACTTAGGATTTCTGTATTTCAATGCATAAAAAAAGCATGAAAGCAATAGCTCATATAATAGCCCAAAGATGTATTTAGCTACAATGAATCAATGAATCTTGTTACAAAACTCTTTGGCAAACACATTTGCTTGTGCACAAATTTGCTTCCAATCTCTAGATTTACTACTGCCTTTGAAGGAAATGCAGTACTTGAATTACAAACTTTCTTCCACGCTAGATACTGAAGGATGACTCATTATCTGAAGTTTGTTACTTAAAGATAAAAATTACCTCTGAATTTCAACTTGTATCACAGTCTTGTCAGCCCAGGAAGGACTTTATTCAGTAACATGGAGGGGGAAAAGAATATGCCAAAGAGGTTTTGAGTTACCAAAGGAAAAATAGTGTAAGAAGATTTTTTTCATGCCTGTGTAAGTACAAAACAGATCAGGCCTTTATTCTTTCTTGTAGGTCACAAGATCCTAGGACTACATCAGCACTCTTATTGTAGCAAGTTGTTTTATACAAATGAGGAAGAATGCATATTCACATACTAGTACGTTATCCCCCAAATATTAGCATTTTTCATATAATTTGTGCACACAGTGGTTTCATATCCCAAAACTGTTCTCTGGGTTTTCCTGCTCTAATGCCAGTTGCTTGGGCACTGAGACAGTATAACTGCGTCAATCTCAGTCTGGGAACAAACTATGAAAACAGCAAAGCAAAATCTGCAAAGAGGATTTACCACCACCTCACTGCAAATAGTTTCCTATTTAAAGGAAAACAAATAAGGAAAGCAAAGGGAGCTCAGTCATGAAAAGGAGGAAATCCTGCCACCACCTTTCAAACCTATTCAACCCTCAACCCTCCCCCACTCATTATCTCACTAAAAATGGCAAAAATACCAATCTTGGACCTCAGGCAAAGCACAGGGCTTTGCCACTTGCCACAGGGCTGACCTCTCCTTGTGCCCCATGACCACCACCACCACAGCTCCTGTGGAAGGATATTTGCTCTCTGTCTGGACTCTGTGCGAGGTCTTGCCGTGAGAGCCCTGAGCTCTGCCACCCGGACCCCATGCAGCACGGGGTATGCAAGGAGCCTGGGAAGATGCAATTAGCCAGAGCAGCTGCCATGGCTGGGTAATGGAACAGGTGTGTTCTTCCAGCAGGGGACATGACTCTGAAAGAGTCACTCAGCGACCGTGCTGGTGTAATGCAATCACTGATTATGTGGTGCTGCACGGAGATCAACGGGCAGCTTTCCCCCACAGGACACATCCGACCACCCAGGAGATGGGGAGTGGCTGTTTGAGAAGAAAGGCAGGCAGCTCCCAGAGGCTGCCAAGGGCTTTGCAGACAGGGCTGGTGGTGAGAGGCTGCCTGTTCAGCAGCTGTTCCCCTTCACTCTTGGCCATCCCACCCACCACTTCTCCCATCTGCAGCAACAGCCTGGTTTTATGTGACACATGCAGAAAGGTGTGTGTTTTTCCAATGGAGAACCAGAAAACAGGCAGGAAACAAGCTACTACTTGAGAGGCAGCTTGCAGGGAGGTCCCAAACAGGATCTGGGTCCAAGAGCTCTAAACTGGACTATCTGCCCTTGGAAATCTGGACCACCCAGCCTTGCTAATCTGGACCCATCTTGCACTCATTCTGCATGCCTCATGTAACTCCCACTCTAAGATCCTCAATCTTCTTTGCTAACAACAGGTAGGGATGTGAAGTGTTAATATTGGATCTCTGCCAGGTTGGCAGCTGTCTGATGGGTGTAGGCCCACTGAGGCTGACAGTGCAAGCTGAGCTAGGCAAACTGAATGGGTGGCTCTATGTGCAATTTTTATAAAAAGACATGCTCATGTCTGCACAGTATAGCTCTCCAAAGAAGTCAAGACACTAAATTAAATTAACCTTGAGGAAACATCTTTAGTTCTTTGTCTTAAGATACCAAAAACATGCCTAAATCAGCAAAATTATATTCTAATAATTCTTATCAAAAATACATCTGTGCACAGAAGAATTATTCTCTAAAATTTGTCATTAATTGGTGAGCACAAGTGGAATAAAATGAGGATGGAATTGCTTCTCCATGGAACTAAATTATATTTCTGGCAACCTCCCTCTTGCAGGTCTCAGAGGAAGGCAGAGGCATGTAGTCCTAAAGCACAGGTGTAACACATCACAAAACTTTAGCTGATCATCTAGCAATGTTTCTAATATGTCTTACTAACAGGCTGCAAAGCTCTCTCTGAGTGAAAGACAAAAAATAATGTGTCCATCAGAGAAGAACTCAGAATATTCCTTGTCTTCTCCTTGCTCCTCTTAAAGCAGTAAGAGAGGAGTGGTGTAGCAGGAGGCTACTGACCTAGCAGCAACGTAGAGGGTCCTGTTCATGACCATGACAAGCTGGATGTCCAGCCGGTGCCTCTGCGTGGTGTTCCGCCCCGGTTTGTGACCCACAAACACCGGATACTGTTTTGTGTCTGTAGGAAGGATAAAAATCAACAGGGTCAAAAGAGAATAACAAACTGAAATGGTGCTAACATGAATCACCATGGGGCCCAGCTATAGCCAAAACCTATGGTTTCTGTTCTGCCCTGGAAGCACAGACTGGGGCTGGAAGGCATGAGCACAGAGAGCTGGAGAGTTCTTCAAAGTTACAGTGTCTGCAGCTGCAAAGAAGAAAGTTACCACCTTTGTAGAATACAAAAACTGTATATTTTTAAGTATAAAGCTGGAGCTCTTGGCACACAGGTACATGGCACTTTCTTGCAGTTTTTCTTTCACTGCTTGCAGAGCTTAAATGCTTGCTCCTACCTGCAGAGCATGTGTATCAGGATGAAGCTGTTCCACAGTGGCCAAACAATCACCACAATGACTGGACTGGTAATGGCTAAAGCAAATGGCTTGGTTCTTTTAGGTTCAAGCTGCCAGTTCCCTGGATTTTCTATAGGACTTGACTGTTGCCACAGAATGGCTGCAGGGTTTTCTGAGAAACAGTGGGAAATCACCACTTGAACTTCATGAAGTGAAAGTCACTGCTCATTATTTTGGCAACCAGTCTGATATTCCAGTCCTTCTGGTAACTGGGCAGCAATACTGATTGGAATCTCCATACTGCTATCAACAAGTGAGCTTCCCCAGCCCTCCAGTTCTACCAGTCAGCAAGAGTATTTATTGTCTATTCCCATTATTTTTTTTGGGGTGAGAGCTCAGCACACACAGGGGTGTTCCACTGCTCCTCAGACGGGTGTACAACTGAACAACAGTGAACACTTCTGATCAAGGGCCACTTCACATTCATGTGTATCATATGATCATGACATCTAGTACACAAACAAGGAGCTAATTAAGTAAATAAAATTCCAGAAGATAGGAGGAGGATAATCCTCTGATGAGCATTATCATGGCAGACCTGCTGCAAATGAATGTTATACAGAGAGAGCTGACTAGCATTGAGCTATGGTTTCTCCCCATTAATATGCTTTCCCAGAAAACTGCAGCTCTTTGGCAGAGTCTGTTTCTTCAGAAACTCATCTGCTCCTTTAGTATTTTAGCTATTGTCTTCTAAAAGCATTGTACCTGTTAAGCTTGGTCAAATCATTGGTTCACAGCATGGCTACAGCAAAGCACCTCAAAGTGTCACATGCCACAAACTCTGGTGATAAAACTGGACAGAAAAAGGAACTTCTCACCAAACCAGGTGCTGATAACTCTTTAAGAAATAAATTAAGACACCAGGCAGGATTTACATTCAGAAGTTTAATTCTTCTGATCATGTCTGACATTGCAAAATGCCAAGTTTTATTGTCAGGCTGTTTTCTGCTCAGGGTTTTCTGCTCCTCTGTAACTCATGGATCTAGAACAAACTAGGCACATTCATGTCCACTTCAGCATGCCATCCTGCAGAGGAAAAATTATCCCAGGTTCTATTTCTCTAAAAACATCAAGTATGGCAAATTTTTCTAAGAATGATTAGCATTGCCCTTCTGGAGGGTGAAAATGTTGGCGCTGAAGTGGCCACACTAGCCATGGGGTTGCTTCAGAGCAGTTCTTCCCTGTTGTTGTATCTTAGAGGTCTATTAGCATTTGCAGCACTTCAGGTGTGCCCTGGACTCTTGTCATTCAGAATAATGTTACACAGGACAGACAAGTTTTTGGGTACCAAGGCCATTGCAAAGCATAGCAAACATGGACAATCTTAAAACCAAATTCCTGAACAAAAAAAGAACAGAACACAAGCCTGCTCTTGGCTGATTTGCTACTCCCTAGCACAGTTTTAAGGGCCCAGACGCTAAAGACATCCTTAAAAACATCTGAAACTTTGGGACTTTGAAGAATTTTCATTGCCATTATCACAACTGAGATGAGGCAAATGTGAAAGAATCAGTTAAATCAGTGTCCACTGTAAGATACACAGAAAGCTCTCCACCTGTTTAGCCAGCAGATCTCAGTATGCAGCTGTTAGTGTTACACTAGATTTTGGAGAGTTTGCCAGTCTCTGCTGGTAAGAAAGGAGAGACCTTCTGTCATACAAGATTCTTTGTCTTGATTTGGTTTTTAGCTTCTTCAATTCCATCTTAGGAAAAAAATGCCTAATGCTCAAGCAGAATCCATTTGAGCCTAAAGAAGTTAAATTATTTGTATTAGATTAACAAAGAGTAAGACCATGTGAAAAAGTCATGTTCCTATATTAGTGCCTGTGAATGTAAATTGGCTGATATGGGAGAAATCAAGAAAAAACAACTTTATCTACTGCAACTGTATTTAAGCAGCATTGATTTGAAGTCCCCTGATCAGTGCTACGTGAAGTCCTCTGCCCCTTATACTTACAGTTGCCATGCGAAATACTGATAGGCTCAGAATCTTCTGGGAAACCAGCCCCAGCAAAGTGTAGCAGTGTGAAATATAGCAGCAAGGCTTCTGACCTCATAGTAGTTCCGCTGTGAGGCTTCACTTCTTCACTTCACCCTGTGGAAGACAAACAAGAGTTTAAGCACCTTCAGGTGGATCAGAGCTTTAAAGAGTCTGTGGAAAGTAGAGGAAGCTTTTCTCCTCAGGCCTCTCACTGTACCTGAGGAGGCATGCTGTGTTTCTAAGTAGAAACTGCCCTGAAAAGCCAGTTATTCTTCAGCTCATGCCCTAGCAGGGCTACATCTTGCTTGAGGATAGACTTAAGGACCTGTGTATTACAAAAATTTTTCTGCCCTGATGCTTATATGTAATACAGATACTTCATCTCCTGCACTGATCAACAGCTGACAAGAGTTTTCCAAGAAACATTTTATTTTCCCCTTCTTTGGTTTACATAATTAGATGATGACAAGATGACACACACCATAAATAAAAAAAACAAACCTTCACACTACATTATTCTGGTTAAAAAGAGATTAAGAGTTATACTACAGGACTGATTCATACCCTGCAGAGCTGTGAATCAAGTGAAGAAACACTGAGAGAGCTTGATGGAGCATTCAGAACATGTCATTGGGCTTTACCATAAAAATATGTACCCATAAATTTAGGTGTTGTAAAACCAATACTCCAACTTGTGATAAAATAAGGAAGAAAAGAACTGTCTAAATCCAGCAATTTTTTCCCCCATGTTCCACTGATGCATTCATTCATTCATTCAGATTTCATGTACAAAAATATCCCTAAATCTTTAAGATAAAAGGAACCACTGGGGCCTTTGGACACAGTGAAAAAAAACAGCACATAATACAGTAAATACTTCATAATTCCTAGGCAAATTTCACAGAGACATTGATCTGTAGGGGAAATCAGTGCAAAAGTGGGGTTTTCTTTTCATCCCTTCCAGAGTTTCAAACCTTTGATGCTGCCTTCCAAAGATTCCTTTTGAACAAAGCTATTTTACAGTGGTATGTCAGTCACTCAAGATTTATGGACAGAAAGTCAAACTTCATAACCTACATAGTCTTTGAAACTTAATTTGGCAAACAAAGTGCTAACTTGCCCTTCTGCAGCACTATTTAATATTAGATACCTGTGTCTCCTTTCTTGATGCCAAAAAAAACATTAGCAAGTATTAAACGTTGGAGTCCTCATTTTTTAACCAATAGAAAAATGTCATAATAATTAATTTGCCTCATCAGATATTTGCTTTCAAATAAAATTTCAGTTGCTATAAATGGTTTGGAGCGGGGGTTCTGTTGCAGGGTGATAGAGTCCATAAGGACTGCTGATTTATTAGACTCTCTGTGTTAGTCTATTATTATTTCAACACAAAAATTGGAATTTTGGCTGCTTCTCTATTTCTATTAACAAAATAACTGGGAGACCAAATTAGACCAAGAATAGGAAAAAAAATGATGTAAGGCAGTGACTGACAACTGAACAAAATTTCAGATAGATGGTGAAGGATAAAAATAGCAAAAATAAATGTAATACAATGCAGACACTGTCTGTCTATTATAACTTATAGGAGAATGCATAGTAAAAGATAGTACATACCAGCCCCAATAGAAGTATTTCCATCTAGCACTGGTTAAGCCAATAGATCTCTAAGATTACTGGCACACCTATATTTGCCTGCAGATGCTTTCTTTATGCATTTCCTCCATTTGTCTTTCTAGTCACCTCTTACATTTTCTCTTGACTGTTAGCTCTCTGGGGTAGAACCTGTTTCTTTCCATTTGTTGTCATTTGGGACCCTTTGGAATGCCCAAAGAAGAAATAAGGAGCAGAAGTAAATAGCAGGCTTGGAAAAACAGTTTCCCTCTAAAGGTTATAATTAAAAGCAATACATACACATTAAAGGTGCTATTTCCTTTATCTCTATGCAATTTTTCAAAATGGCACTTTACTGGGTTAAAAATTTTGCCCTTGTAAGTACACAGCAAAATGGCAAAATGAAATTCCTTACTACACAAACTGATTGAAATTATTTTCTCTTTGAAATTGCTACAATCCAATGTAAAAATCTTTTCTGAAATGTACATAAGGAACAACAGTTCAATGAGAAGAACTTAGGAAGCAATCCAATTGTTCCACTTCCACTGTATTAATCTACAGTATCAGTCTGCAGGCTAACAATCCAAACCACTTGGCTCACAATGAGACTCCAGAGCACAAGAATAGCTGCTTTCTGCTGCTCCCTTTCATCACAAAATCCACCATCTGACAACGTGTGTGCTGTGAGGAAAGCACCACAGTACTGCAGACACAGCTCTGCCGCTCCCCTTCAGAGCCTGAAAAACTTGTCCCATGGGTGATTCTGTACCATCAGTCTCTAATTCTCATTCAGACTTGTGTACTGCTCCGTGTACATCTGTGTGGGAGACAGCTTCCAGGAAAATGAACAAGTCCCAGAACGCTTACTTTGTGATTTCCTGCACATGCTATTGGGCCAGATCTGCTTACGTTTACCTGGGAAAAAAACCAAACTGACAAATGAACTGTCATAGATTGGTAGGTTTATATGAAATTCTCTCTCCTTCTTAAGGGGATTCTTCTGGAGAAGAAAAGAGGGAGAAGAGAGGAAAAAGCATAAATTTCTGTTGCTCTGATGCCAACATGATCATTCAAATTCACAAAATGTGTATGCAAAGTATCTGCTTTGACATGTCAATAATTCAAGTTGACTACACGTGTATCAGTGTCTGTGCCAATAAATTAGCACTGAGGAGGACTAAATTGTATCCAAAGGCAGCTTTTTTCCAGAAGTAATTATTCAAACATATTGTCACTTTTGCAGTTCTTACAATGACAGAAAGAGTCATACTGTTTCAGTGGAATTTCAGAAAAGTGCTGATTCAAGGTCACACTTATTTTTAGGACAATTTTCACTGTGGTTGGGCCCCTGGGATTGATGCAAATGTTCTCACTCGCAACTGTGCTGAAGCTACTTTTGTTCAAAAGTGTTTGTGAGCACAGTGTCTGATGAAGACGAGTAGCTAGACAGTGATGCCAAGTGAGTACAGCACTGTTCCAAAATAAAAGTTTTGCAAACATCAATGAAGAACTCTCCATCTTTCATGCAGAGATCTGAACTGCAATTCAATCTGGCCTGCACTAAGCCATACTGGTTGAGAGAGAACTGGGTCTGAGAACTCCAGTCTCCTGGGTCAAAACATTGTAACACTTGTTGAAGGAAGCTACTGCCAACACGAGTGAACCTTGGTGGTCTTTTATTATCAAGCATGCTATTAAAATACAGCCCTAAAAATATTTAAGAGAATGTTTTATAGTCTAACCCAGTGACTTGAAGCCATCGAATTGGCACAGTAGATTAGATTTCTTCCAAGCTTCTAAAAAACCCGCAAATAATTTGCTTGTTGCTTTTCTAAACCAAAGAATATACAAATATTTTGGAACATACATTGGTGCTCTGATTATTCTTTCTGAAGCGGATGTTTCTAATACCTGTGTAAGACATCTCCTCGTGGCCACTTATGTGTTCACTCCTTTTTGTTGTATTATAATCAGGTATAAACAAACAACATGATCTCTTAATCAAAATATATAGAAATCAAAGTTTTGCCTTCTGAGGTGGAATAGGTTTCTCTGTTTGTACACTTCAGCCTGAAGATGAATCACTTTTAAGTAGGATGCTTGAATACTAGTACAAGATAGTTGCTATTACTATTATTTTTACTTAGTCAAAGCCTATGTATACATATACATATACATATACATGTACATGTACATATACATAATCACCCACACATACATGCTTGACATAGAATCATTTACTTTTGTAAAATTCATGCTGTTGGCATGAAGGAGTTTCTGAAGACAAGAAAGTAATGATCATTTCAAGACAAGGAGAAAAGTCTAATTTTACTTTGCCAAGTTCTTTCCACAATGGCTATCCATGGCTATTCAAGCTAACAAGGAGCCACCATTACGAGCTTTGCTTTTTGCTGTCTGATATTTTTAGCATTTCCAACAGTCTGCGTGGAAATGCATGCAGAATATCTGCTTGGCCAAGGAAAGAATTACATGGCTCCTGCCACAATAATCTAGTAGGCAGGTTATTTTATCTACAGCTAGTTTGTTCCAGAAGGGTTACACAATCCAATGAAAATCTCAACGGAAAAGACAACTTCCTGGTAAACTCCATAAAAGTGCAAGGGCAGATTTGATCCTGAGAACAAATTCAACAGCAACAGCAATGACTGCAAAGGCACATCTCTAATGAAAGGGATGCTCTTCCATGTTAGAAAACCTCCCATCTTGTTGCTTCAACTTCACTGTTCATTCAGCTAATCCCGGTGTAACTCCAAGAAAAATTAAAGTATGGAACTATGTCAGAATTTTCCCATGGCACAGTAAGACTGCTGTATAAAGAATAGATCTTGTTATATTCATTTATTACAAAACTTCTTTCTACCATGTTGCTTTGTGTTCATACAAAACAGCTGCACTTCAATTCACAAATTATTAAGCTTAATGCGAGAATCACCAGACAAAATTCCATGGTCCGTGTTATGCATGAAGCAAGGCCAGAAAACCTACTGGCCCTAAAAACCTGTGACTGTCTTCAACAAACTCTTTCATTTCCATAAATATGTAGAAATAATTTATTCTTCAAAAAGACAGTCCAGCAAGAGGAAACAGCATTTAACCAAACATTTATTAAAAAGTAAAGCCAGATGAATTTGAACTACTGCATAAGGAAAAATGCACAACAGGGAAAGCAGCAGCCTACATGAACTGGTCCTGAAAATACTCAGCAAATAGCACTTAGAATCATAACCAGCAAAAGCAAAAGTACTTTTAAAAAGCAGGGAAGAAACTGATTTGAGTTTCATAACAGAGGTTAAAAGATTGGAGATTCTTCTGTGGTAAGAGATTTTAAAGCACACAGGTGATTTAGGAGCCCAAATCCTACACCAGTGTCTCATCAAAAGAGACTCACTTACACAAAAAGCATGTATTGATCTACACAGCCATGCCTCCTTGCTGTGCTGAAGGCAGAGCACAGAAACCAGTTGGCCAACCTGCCT